GCTGCTTCAGGTTCTCTCTCACATAGAGCCACCTACCTCTTCCGTCCTCCACCCACCTCCTCCACCTAACTCCTCCCAATCACCCACCTCCTCCACCTACCTCCTCTGTCATCCCATACACCTACCTCCTTCGTCCTCCCAGCCACCCAACTCCTCCACCTACCTCCTCTGTCACCTACACCTACCTCCTTCGTCCTCCCAGCCACCCAACACCCACCTACCTCCTCCGTTTTCCGATCATCCACAGGGCGCTGCTTCAGGTTCTCTCTCACACAGAGCCACCTACCTCTTCCGTCCTCCACCCACCTCCTCCACCTAACTCCTCCCATTCATTCCACCTACCCCTCACCTCCTCCACCTACCTCCTTCATCCACCCATCCCCCATCCTTCATCCACCCACCTCCTCATCCTCCCACCCCCACCCACCCCCCCTCCATCCTCCCAACCAAATCCTCCGTCTTCTCACCCATCTCCTCCACCTACCCCCTCCATCCTCTCACCTACCCCTCTGTCCTCTAATCTACCTCCTCCATCATCCACCTACCTCCTCTGTCCTCTACATCACTGTCACAACTGACCACATAAAGAAGGCAGGGAGGCGAGTACAAAAAGGTGGGTATAGCAGAGATATTTGGGGTGTATGGGTAGATGGGGGGAGTGGGTTCTGCAGTCAAGTAGGTGGGGGTGGGTATAGTACTGCAGTCAGGTAAGTTAAGTAGGTGGAGGGGTGCTAGAGTAAAGTAGGTTGGTGGGGGAGGGGACTTTGTAGTCAGGTAGGTAGGTGGGGATTCTGTAGGTAGGTTGGTGGGGGAGGGGACTCTGCAGTCAGGTAGGTGGGTGGGGTTTCTGTGGGTGGGTCTCTGCAGTCAGGTAGGTAGGTGGGTGTTCTGTGGGTAGGTTGGTGGGGGAGGGGACTCTGCAGTCAGGTAGGTGGGTGGGGATTCTGTGGGTAGGTTGGTGGGGGAGGGGACTCTGCAGTCAGGTAGGTAGGTGGGTGTTCTGTGGGTAGGTTGGTGGGGGAGGGGACTCTGCAGTCAGGTAGGTGGGTGGGGATTCTGTGTGGGTAGGTTGGGGGGGGAGCACTCAGCAGTTAGGTAGGTGGGGATTCTATGGGTAGGTTGGTGGGGGAGGGGACTCTGCAGTCAGGTAGGTTAGGTGGGTGGGGATTCTGTGGGTAGGTTGGGTGGGGAGGGGACTCTGCAGCAGTTAGGTAGGTGGGGGGTGTTTCTGTGGGTAGGTTGGTGGGGGAGGGGACTCTGCAGTCAGGTAGGTAGGTGGGTTCTGTGGGTAGGTCTGTGGGGAGGGGACTCTGCAGTCAGGTAGGGTCGGTGGGTGTTCTGTGGGTAGGTTGGTGGGGGAGGGGACTCTGCAGTCAGGTAGGTGGGTGGGGATTCTGTGGGTAGGTTGGTGTGGAGGGGACTCTGCAGTCAGGTAGGTAGGTGGGTGTTCTGTGGGTAGGTTGGTGGGGGAGGGGACTCTTCAGTCAGGTAGGTGGGTGGGGATTCTGTGGGTAGGTTGGTAGGGGAGGGGACTCTTCAGTCAGGTAGGTGGGTGGGGATTCTGTTGGTATGGGAGAGGACTCTGCAGTCAGGTAGGTAGGTGGGTGTCCGGGGAATATCCATAGAGCAGAAAGCGGGGTCCGGTAGATATCAGTATGCCTGTACTCACACAGCCGGTAGGTGACCCTCCTTCGCCCTGTACCGCTCTGTGTCGGTGGATCCCGGAAGTGCAGCAGTTCACAGTCCCGCCCACTACATTCACCCCCTACTAGGCCGGAATCGGGATTCCTACCACGTGATAGTGCAGAACTTTCCAGGACGTCCATGTTCAGTGTGGGCAACTTGCCCTGAAATGCGTACATCGCCCACTGGAGGGCGCCGGTACACAGTCCTCTCATAATGGCCGAGAAGATCTTCATCGCCCCCCCACACGACACTACCCAGGGCTGCTGGGAGTTGTAGTCCAATTGGGGACGGTGACGGGACATGCTGGGAGTTGTAGTTCCTCTAGGCAACAGGGAATGGACATGCTGGGAGTTGTAGTCCCTCTAGGGGGTGGTGACAGGACATGGTGGGAGTTGTAGTCCCTCTAGGGGACGGTGACAGGACATGCTATGTCCCTCTAGGGGGTTGTACCATGGGGGAGTTGTAGTTCCTCTAGGGGGTGGTGACAAGACATGGTGGGAGTTGTAGTTCCTCTAGGGGGGGTGACAAGACATGGTGGGAGTTGTAGTTCCCTCTAGGGGGTGGTGACAGGACATGCTAGGAGTTGTAGTTCCTCTAGGGGGTGGTGACAAGACATGGTGGGAGTTGTAGTTCCTCTAGGGGGTGGTGACAAGACACGGTGGGAGTTGTAGTTCCTCTAGGGGGTGGTGACAAGGACACGGTGGGAGTTGTAGTTCCTCTAGGGGGTGGTGACAAGACATGGTGGGAGTTGTAGTTCCTCTAGGGGGTGGTGACAGGACATGCTGGGAGTTGTAGTTCCTCTAGGGGGTGGTGACAAGGACATGGTGGGAGTTGTAGTTCCTTCTAGGGGGTGTGTGACAGGACATGCTGGGAGTTGTATTCCTTCTAGGGGCGAGGATGGGACATGCTGGAGTTGTAGTCCCTCCAGGGGTTGAGGATGGGACATGGTAGGAGTTGTAGTTCCTTTAGGGGTTGGTGACGGGATATGATGGAAGTTGTAGTTCTTCCATGCTGGGAGTTGTACTCCCTCTAGGGAGCAGGAAGGGGCATGCTGGGAGTTGTAGTCCCTCTGGGGGCGGTGATGGGACACGCTGGGAGTTGTAGTTTCTCTAGGGGGCAGGAAGTGACATACTGGGAGTTGTAGTCCCTCTAGGGGCGGGAAAGGATATGCTGGGAGGTTGTAGTCCCTCTAGGGGGCGGTGATGGGTACTACGCTGGGAGTTGTAGTCCCTCTAGGGGTGGTGACGGGACATGCTGGGAGTTGTAGTCCCTCTAGGGGGTGGTGATAGGACATGATGGGAGTTGTAGTCCCTCTAGGGGGCGGGAAGGGACATACTGGGAGTTGTAGTCCTCTATGGGCAGTGACGAAACATACTGGGAGTTGTAGTCCCTCTAGGGGCAGTGACAAAACATTCTGGGGTTGTAGTTTCCCTCTAGGGGGCGTGAAGAGACATGCTGGGGGTTGTAGTCCCTCTAGGGGGTGAGGAAGGGACATGATATGAGTTGTAGTCCCTCTAGAGGGCAGTGATGGGAGACACTGGGAGTTGTAGTTCCCTGTAGGGATCGGCGAAGGGACATGCTGGGGGCTGAAGTCCCTCTAGGGGGCGGGGAAGGGACATGATGGGAGGTGTAGTTCCTCTAGGGGCCGGTGACAGGACATGGTGGGAGTTCTAGTCCTTCTAGAGGGCAATGAAGGGACATGCTGGGAGTTATAGTCCCTATAGGGGGACGGTGATGGGACATGCTGGAAGTTGTAGTCCCTCTAGGGGACAGGGAAGGGAAACGGTGGGAGTTGTAGTCCCTCTAGGGGGGGCGGTTGCCAGGACATGCCGGGAGTTGTAGTCCCTCTAGATGCAGTGACGGGACGTGCTGGAAGTTGTAGTCCCTCTAGGGGGCAGTGACAGGACATGATGGGAGTTGCAGTTCCTCTAGGGGGTGGTGATGGGACATGCTGGGAGTTGTAGTCCCTCTAGGGGGTGGTGATGGGACATGCTGGGAGTTGTTGTCCCTCTAGGGAGCAGTGATGGGCATGCTGGAAGTTGTAGTCCCTGAGGGGCTGGTGCAGGAACATGCTGGGAGTTGTAGTCCCTCTAGGGGGCGGTGAAGAGACATGCTGTGAGTTTTAGTCCGTCTATGGGCCAGTGACGGGAGATGCTGGGAATTGTAGTCCCTCTAAGGGGTGGTGTCAGGACATGCTAGGGGTTGTAGTCCCTCTAGGGGGCAGGGAAGGGAATGTTGGGGGTTATAGTCCCTCTAGGGGTGGTGACAGTACACACTGGGACTTGTAGTCCCTCTAGGGAGCGGTGATAGGGCATGCTGGGAATTGTAGTCCCTCTAGTGAGAAGTGATGGGGCATGCTGGGAGTTGTAGTCCCTCTAGGGGGCAGGTGCAGGAACATGCTGGGAGATGTAGTCCCTCTAGGGGGCAGGTGCAGGAACATGCTGGGAGATGTAGTCCCTCTAGGGGGTAGTGATGGGACATGCTGACAGTTATAGCTCCTCTAGGAGGGGGGGGGGGGGGGGGGGGGGATGAAGGGACATGCTGGGAGTTGTAGTTCCCCTAGGGGTGGTGACGGGGGGACATGCTGGGAGTTGTAATCCCTGCAGGGGGGGAAGGGACATGCTGGGAGTTGTAGTTCCTCCAGGGGTGGTGACGGGACATGCTGGGAGTTGTAGTACCTCTGGGGACGGGAAGGGACATGCTGGGAGTTGTAGTTCCTCCAGGGGTGGTGACGGGACATGCTGGGAGTTGTAGTACCTCTGGGGACGGGAAGGGACATGCTGCTGGGGAGTTGTAAGCCCTGTAGGGGACGGGGAAGGGACATGCTGGGAGTTGTAGTCCCTCTAGGGGTGGTGACGGGACATGCTGGGAGTTGTAGTACCTCTGGGGATTGGGGGGGCATGCTGGGAGTTGTAGTCCCTCTAGGGGGCGGTGATGGGGCATGCTGTGCTCTGTAGTCCCTCTACTGGGCAGGGAAGGGACACGCTGGGAGTTGTAGTCCCTATAGGAGGCAGGGAAGGAAGATACTGCTGGTAGTAGTCCCTCTAGGGGGCGGTAAAAGGACATGCTGGGAGGAATAGTCCCACTGGGACCCCTGTGCCCCTCTATAGTACCTCCTGCTTGGATACTGATCTTACGGACAGCGCAGAGCCCCGCCCAATCACACCCCCCTCCGCTCCCTATGGCCTTTCTTGTGCAGCGGGGCGGGGTCTACTCTAGGGATCCTCCCCTCTCTCCGCCCCCGGCTGTCAGCGGTGTTTGCTGTGAATAAAGCTGTGTGTTGACGGAAGTGCCGGGTGAAGTGGAGGAGTAAGATGGCGGAGGGTGGAGGAGAGGATGGCGGGTCCCCGCTATGTATGATCGTGTGCTGGGCATGGCGGGCTCCGGGAAGACCACCTTCACTCAGGTAGATGTGAGGGGGGAGGGGAGGAGTCCTGTGTGTGTCCCCGCCCCCGCTCCTCTGTAGACCGGTTCTCTTCATACAGATTCACCGGTGGGGGAGGGAAGGAGGACCTGTGCGAGCTCTCCCCCGCCCCCTCATGTGACGGCTCTGGTACCAATCAGGGAGGGGGCACATGATCACCGTACCCAGACGTACCGGCTGTTGTAGAATGAAGCACTGTGATTGGCTGGGATGTGACTTTGTTCTCCTCTTCTCCTACAGAGACTCACCTCTATCTCCACGGGACATGTGCCCCTCATATCTCCACGGGAAGAACTGTGCCCCCTACACCATCAACCTGGACCCAGCCGTCCACAACATCCCCTTCCCTGCCAACATAGGTACGTACTACAATCCCCTCCCCCCCTACGCCATCAACCTGGACCCCGCCGTCCACAACATCCCCTTCCCCGCCAACATAGGTACGTACTACAATCCCCTCCCCCCCTACGCCATCAACCTGGACCCCCGCCGTCCGCAACATCCCCTTCCCCGCCAACATAGGTACGTACTACAATCTCCTCCCCGCTACGCCATCAACCTGGACCCCGCCGTCCACAACATCCCCTTCCTTCCCGCCAACATAGGTACGTACTACAATCCCCTCCCCCCTACGCCATCAACCTGGACCCCGCCGTCCACAACATCCCTTCCCCGCCAACATAGGTACGTACTACAATCCCCTCCCCCCTACGCCATCAACCTGGACCCCGCCGTCCACAACATCCCCTTCCCCGCCAACATAGGTACGTACTACAATCCCCTCCCCCCTACGCCATCAACCTGGACCCCGCCGTCCACAACATCCCCTTCCCCGCCAACATAGGTACGTACTACAATCCCCTCCCCCTACGCCATCAACCTGGACCCCGCCGTCCACAACATCCCCTTCCCCGCCAACATAGGTACGTACTACAATCTCCTCCCCCCCCCTACGCCATCAACCTGGACCCCCGCCGTCCACAACATCCCCTTCCCCGCCAACATAGGTATGTACTACAATCCCCTCCCCCTACGCCATCAACCTGGACCCCGCCGTCCACAACATCCCTTCCCCGCCAACATAGGTACGTACTACAATCTCTCCCCGCTACGCCATCAACCTGGACCCCGCCGTCCACAACATCCCCTTCCCCGCCAACATAGGTACGTACTACAATCCCCTCCCCCTACGCCATCAACCTGGACCCCGCCGTCCACAACATCCCCTTCCCTGCCAACATAGGTACGTACTACAATCTCCTCCCCCCTACGCCATCAACCTGGACCCCGCCGTCCACAACATCCCCTCCCCGCCAACATAGGTACGTACTACAATCTCCTCCCCCCCATACGCCATCAGGGAACCTGGACCCCGCCGTCCACAACATCCCCTCACCACGCCAACATAGGTACGTACTACAATCCCCTCCCCCCTACGCCATCACCTGGACCCCGCCGTCCACAACATCCCCTTCCCCGCCAACATAGGTAAGTACTACAATCCCCTCCCCCCTACGCCATCAACCTGGACCCCGCCGTCCACAAACATCCCCTTCCCCGCCAATAGGTAATGTACTACAATCCCCTCCCCCCTACGCCATCAACCTGGGCCCCGCCGTCCACAACATCCCCTCTCCGCCAACTTAGGTACGTACTACAATCCCCTCCCCCCTACGCCATCAACCTGGACCCCGCCGTCCACAACATCCCCTTCCCTGCCAACATAGGTACGTACTACAATCCCCTCCCCTACACCATCAACCTGGACCCCCCCCCCGTTCACCAGATGTCCCCACCCACATGGGGGGGGTACTGTATGCCCCTCCCCACCAACATGGCTCCCTATAGGTGGTAGTAGACGGTAGGGGGTATGTCGGGGGCTCCCAGCAGGCAGTAATGATGGTCTCTGTGTCTCTCTGCAGATATCCGGGACACTGTGAAACTACAAGGAGGTGATGAAGCAGTATCCTCACCACAGAGGGGGGGGGTATGACAGGGAACACCTGGGAAGGGGGGTTCACGGGGACACGGGCACAAAGGGGGGCTGTCAGTGGGACAGATGGGTGAAGCAGGTGTCAATGGGGGCACAGGGGGGGTGTTCATGGTGACAAGGGCACAGAGAGGGGCTGTCAATTGGGGAACATGGTGGGGGGGGTATGTCTATGGGGACACGGGCACAGAGAGGGGCTGTCAATGGGTACATGGCGGGGGGGGGGGTAGGGGTATGTCTATGGGGACACGGGCACAGAGAGGGGCTGTCAATGGGGACATGGTTGGGGGGGGGGTATATGTCTATGGGGACACGGGCACAGAGAGGGGCTGTCAATGGGGACATGGTGGGGGGGGGTTATGTCTATGGGGACACGGGCACAGAGAGGGGCTGTCAATGGGGACAGAGATGGGTTCATGGGGGGAGGGGGGCTGTACAGAGGGATGGGGGGGTATCTAATTTGATGTGATTGGTTTCCTGGAGTCACATGGTAATGGTGATCTTGTTCCAGGTGGTGAAGTTCATCGAGAAGAGGCAGAAGAACTGTCGGTGAGTGATCCACCAAAACCGGAGGGCCTTCTTACACTCAACACAATTGCTTGCTGCTGTCTGCTTTTCTTCATGGCCTGCTCGGGGGCTGGCAATGGAGGAGGGAGGGTGGTCTGCTTGGGGGCTGACTACGGAGGAGGGAGGGCAGGTGGCGGCCTGCTCAGGGGCTGGCAATGGGGGAGGGCGGGTGGCCTGCTCAGGGGCTGGCAATGGGGGAGGGCGGGCGGCCTGCTCGGGGGCTGGCAACGGAGGAGGGAGGGTGTCTGCTTGGGGGCTGACTACGGAGGAGGGAGGGCAGGTGGCGGCCTGCTCAGGGGGCTGGCAATGGGGGAGGGCGGGTGGCCTGCTCAGGGGCTGGCAATGGGGAGGGGGGGCGGCCTGCTCGGGGGCTGGCAACGGAGGAGGGAGGGCGGGCAGCCTGCCTGCTTGGGGGCTGGAAACGGGGAGGGAGGGAGGGCGGCCTGTTCGGGGGCTGGAAACGGGGGAGGGAGGGCGGCCTGTTCGGGGGCTGGCAACGGAGGAGGGAGGGAGTGGGCGGCCTGTTGCGGGGGTTGGCAACAGAGGAGGGAGTGCGGCCTATTCGGGAGCTGGCAACGGAGGAGGGAGGGTGGCTTCCTGCCTGCTCGGGGGCTGGCAACGGAGGTGGGCGGGCGGCCTGCTTGGGGGCTGGCAACGGAGGAGGGTGGGAGGGCGGCCTCTTCGGGGGCTGGCAACAGAGGAGGGCTGGCGGCCTGCTCGGGGGCTGGCAATGGAGGAGGGAGGGGGCAGGTGGCCTGCCTGCTCGGGGGGGGGGCTGGCAAGGGAGGGAGGGAGAGCAGCCTGCTCGGGGGCTGGCAACGGAGGCGGGCGGCGTGCTCAGGTGGCTGAGGTAGGTGCGCTGCTCGGGGGTGGGCACTGGATGTTGTAGAGAACCCAGGATGTCATGTGACCACCTAAAAAGGATTTTAAAGATTTCTGGAAAAAGTGGGAGGGGAAGTAGGGGAGGCTGGTTAGCCTGGTTTTGGGCATTTCCTATTGGCTTCTGTCTGCTGGCAGGCAGAATAGAATTTAGAATGTGATGATTTGCTCCTCCCATGTGCCCGCCCTAGCGGAGCTGCTGCCATTTTCTGATGTCCTTGTCGCACTGGTAGACCGTCCTCTGACTATACTTCTCTCCATCCTGTAGGTACGTTGTGATCGACACCCCGGGGCAGATCGAAGTCTTCACATGGTCGGCCTCCGGAGCCATTATTACAGAAGCCTTGGTGAGTTCCAGGGGGAGCCCCTCCCATTGTGGTTAGGTCATCACTGGGTCCCTGTGCTACTCTATGCAACGTGGTAAGGGAAGGATGGACATCAGATTGAAAGGGGCCCCAGCCAGGACCACTGTCTGCAGTGAAATCTCTGGGCTTCCTCCTGATCTGGGTCGGGTCTTTGCTTTGTGCTCCGCTATCGGTGAATATTGTGCTCTGTGCTGATGGCTGCGCTCTCCTCCAGGCCTCCTCCTTCCCCTCTGTGGTGGTCTATGTGATGGATACCTCACGCAGCGTCAACCCCGTCACCTTCATGTCCAACATGCTGTACGCCTGCAGGTGAGTGTAAAGATGGGGGGGCGCTGGTGACACGGGATGGCAGCATGGAGGGAAGGGGGGGCACACTGTGGTAAACAGTGCTGAGCTGTGGTGCGGAAGTTGGGGGGTGATGATGGAGGGAAGGGGGGGGGGTGATGTGATGGTGGAGGGAAGGGTGGGGGGTGCGTGCTAAAATTGCAGAGGGAAGGGGTAGTGAGAGAAGGGTGGAGGGAGGAGGGGGGGGTGTGTTTATAATTGCGGAGGGAAGGGTGGGCGGTGATAGAGGGAAGGGTGTGGGGTGCGTGCTATAATTGTGGAGGGATGGCGGAGGGAAGGGGGGGGGGTGATGGCGGAGGGAAGGGGGGGGTGATGGCGGAGGGAAGGGGGAGGGTTGCTGTGATGGGGAAGGGTGGGGGGTTGCGTGCTATAATTGCATGGGGAGGGAAGGGGGGGGGTGATGGCGTGCAGGAGAAGGGGGGGGGGGGGATGATGCGTGCAGGAGAAGGGGGGGGGGGGGGTGATGGCAGCGCAGAGAGAAGGGGGGGGGGGGGTTGATGGCAGCGCAGAGAGAAGGGGGGGGGGGTGATGGCAGTGCAGAGAGAAGGGGGGGGTGAGGCAGGCAGAGGAAGGGGGGGGGGGGGGTGATGGCAGCGCAGAGAGAAGATGGCAGGGGGAGGGGGGGTGATGGCAGCGCAGAGAGAAGGGGGGGGGGGGGTGATGATGGCAGCGCAGAGAGAAGGGGGGGGGGGTGATGGCAGCGCAGAGAGAAGGGGGAGGGGGGGTGATGGCAGCGCAGAGAGAAGGGGGGGGGGGGGTGATGGCAGCGCAGAGAGAAGGGGGGGGGGGGTGATGGCAGGCAGAGAGAAGGGGGGGGGGGGGGTGATGGCAGCGCAGAGGGAAAGGGGGAGGGAATGGGGGGTGACGTGATGGCAGGGCGGAGGGAAGGGGGGTTGGCGGTGTGGAGGAAAGGGGGGGGGGGGGGATGGTGTGGAGGAGGGGGGGGGGGAGGAGGGGGTTGGGCTGCGAATGATGTCACAGAAATATGTGCTGTGTCTTCTTCTCTTCCAGCATCATGTATAAGACCAAGCTGCCCTTCATTGTTGTCATGAACAAGGTGGGTATTACATGTTGGACCCCATAGGACTAGTGGTAACCCGCAGTCTGTACTCCTGTTGTCACCTCGTAGAGGGGAAGAGGTTCAGGCAGAGTGATTGAGGGTCCTCAGGATGGGCTCCTATGTGTTGTATCTGGTGGTGGGGATGGCATTACGGCCGTACAATGGAGGGTCCTCGGGATGGTCTCCTATGTGCTGTGTCTGGTGGTGGGGATGGCATTACGGCCGTACAATGGAGGGTCCTCGGGATGGTCTCCTATGTGCTGTGTCTGGTGGTGGGGATGGCATTACGGCCATACAATGGAGGGTCCTCGGGATGGTCTCCTATGTGTTGTATCTGGTGGTGGGGATGGCATTACGGCCGTACAATGGAGGGTCCTCAGGATGGGCTCCTATGTGCTGTATCTGGTGGTGGGGATGGCATTACGGCCGTACAATGGAGGGTCCTCGGGATGGTCTCCTATGTGTTGTATCTGGTGGTGGGGATGGCATTACGGCCGTACAATGGAGGGTCCTCGGGATGGTCTCCTATGTGCTGTGTCTGGTGGTGGGGATGGCATTACGGCCGTACAATGGAGGGTCCTCGGGATGGTCTCCTATGTGTTGTATCTGGTGGTGGGGATGGCATTACGGCCGTACAATGGAGGGTCCTCAGGATGGGCTCCTATGTGCTGTATCTGGTGGTGGGGATGGCATTACGGCCGTACAATGGAGGGTCCTCGGGATGGTCTCCTATGTGTTGTATCTGGTGGTGGGGATGGCATTACGGCCGTACAATGGAGGGTCCTCAGGATGGGCTTCTATGTGCTGTATCTGGTGGTGGGGATGGCATTACGGCCGTGCAATGGAGGGTCCCCAGGATGGGCTCCTATGTGCTGTGTCTGGTGGTGGGGATGGCATTACGGCCGTACAATGGAGGGTCCTCGGGATGGTCTCCTATGTGTTGTATCTGGTGGTGGGGGGATGGCATTACGGCCGTACAATGGAGGGTCCTCAGGATGGGCTCCTATGTGCTGTATCTGGTGGTGGGGATGGCATTACGGCCGTACAATGGAGGGTCCTCAGGATGGTCTCCTATGTGATGTATCTGGTGATGGGGTTCAGGCAGTGTGATGGAGGGGTCCCGAGATTGGAGTGCTGTCTATTCTTGTTTCTGGTGGTGGGATTGGGATTAGGGCAGTACAATGGAGGGTCTCCAGGATGGTCTTCTGTGTACTTCTCATCTGTGGTGGTGGGGATGGGATTTGTGACGTGCGATAGATGGTCCCCATGATGGGGTCCTATGTATTTCTCTGATGGTGGGGATGGGATCCAGGCAGTAATAATCTACTTTTTTTTTTAGAGACAGACATAATCGATCACAGCTTTGCAGTAGAGTGGATGCAGGACTTCGAGACGTTCCAGGACGCTCTGAATCAGGAGACATCGTATGTCAGTAACTTGACGCGATCCATGAGCCTAGTCCTGGATGAGTTCTATAACGCACTGCGGGTAACGTGCTTGTTGTATGGGCATTGTGTGTGCGCCATGTTTGTTTGTTTTTGTGTGAGCGGCCAGGCACAATCCTAACACAGTCCTGGCACTCCATCTCTATTCTTGGCTCTCCTCAGGTGGTTGGCGTGTCGGCAATGACTGGAGCCGGGATGGACGAATTTTTTGTCAAGCTTACAGAAGCAGCGGAAGAATATGAGAAGTGAGTGATACGAGGTGGTCCGTATACGGCAGCCAAACTCGGCAAGGACCCCTTTGGGTATGGGGTACATAATGGGCCTCTTCCTCATTGTCAGGCCCACCACTTGGAGACGCTTTTAACGAGTTTTTGTAAACTACTTTTATAACGAATTTTAAGTAGATCTAGCCAAAAGATTTTTTTTTTTTCTTTTTCTTCTTTCCTGTTCTGAGGGACAAAGGAAGTCTTTAAGCTTTTGGATTACACAGCCGCCTAGGGGAGGATACAGAAACTGGAAAATAAAATTGTTTGTAGGCCACTCAAAGGTAACCCTTCTTGCTCCCAGCATGGCCTGATCCACCAAATTTAGTAGATCTCCATTTGGCCTTCTGAAGTCTTCCGGCTCAAGGTGTCCTTGCCGCAGTTTTGCAGCAGAACAGATTTCCAGGGGTTTTACTCCCAACTTGTTCACTGTTCCCAAATCCAAAAGGGGGCATCTGCCCCCATCTTGCTCTAAGGCAGTCTTTCTCTACCTTTTTTTACCCTCGGGGAACCCTTAGAATAATTTTCAGGTCTCCAGGGACTCCTATTAACACTAATCCATTGGTGGTCCTTGGGAAAATGCCCCTTACAGTGGTGGTGGTCAGTAGGAAGTTTTCTCCCCTTACAGTGGTGCTCAGAATGTCATCCTTGCATCCATGCCATGTGATCTTGGACCTAGAACTATTCATGTACCATCAGATGGGTGGTGAGGTAGCCACAGCTCAAGGAACCTCCAGCCACCACTTGAAGGAACCTTGGTTGAGAATGTCTGCTCTTAAGGTATTCCACATGGAATCCACCACATCCGTCACGGCCTCCGTTTAAGCAAGGACACTTTCCAGCTTTGAGGATGCTTACTTTCATGTCCCCATCTTTCCAGTACATCAGTTTTTTTAAACCTTTGCTTTGGGTCCCCTTCATGACCAGTTTGTGTTCCTACCCTTCAGTCTCTCATCTGAACCTTTGGGTATTCACAAAGCTGCTGGCACCTGTATCGGCCCTGCTATGTTCTTGTGGCATCCCCATTGTTTTGATATTTAGATGACCTCGTGTTGAGAACAGTCAGCATGGGTTCTGTTGGACAATGTGACTGTATCGATGTTTCAGGTGGATCTGGTACCTGGTAGCTCATGATCTGGAGAATCTGGGTCTAGTCCTGGACACGGCTTAGGCCAGAGTAGTCCTAGTAGTGGACTAGCATGGGAATGCTTAATTCCAGGAATTGACCAACTAAGAATCCTGTGTCTGATGGTGGCCTCTTTCAAAGAGGCTCCATTTGCCCAGTTCCACTCCAGCCCTCAAGAACTCAACTTTCTGTCATGGTGGGACAAGTCCATCTGTCGTTTTTGGAGAGGCTGATTTGTCTGTTGCTGAGGACCAGGGTTTCCCTGGCTTGGTGGCTCAGGCATCCATTTCTGGAATTGAAGTCGTTCCTTTCCATGAGGGCTATCTGTTGGTGCATTGGACTTGGTTGTCAGAGGAGTTCAGTCAAATCTCTCATATCCTGATCAACATCCTGGAATGTCGGCAGCCTCTGCTACATTGAACCATCCTAATGGATCCTAATCTGATCCAATTTCAGTTGGGAAATGTTTTGGCGGTGCATACCTTGATCATTGGGAAGGAATTAGAAGTCTCGATGAGGCAGCTCCTGTCCAGAGCAGAACTTTACGTGTCGGCCTTGGCAGATGTGTACGTTGCAGATGTAGACAGTTGTCAGATTTCACCACCTGGCAGCGCCTGGTCGGGGTGGTGACCACTTCACCCAGAGGTATCTCTATCAAAGGGGAGGGACACTGGCTGTGGACTTCTTTTATTATTATTATTATTATACAGGATATATATGGCGCCAACAGTTTGCTCAGCGCTTTACAATATAAAGGGAGACAATACAGTTCAATACAAGAGGGATAGGAGGGCCCTGCTCCTTGGAACTTACCATCTAGGAGGGAGGGGCTGGCGGTACAAAAGGTAGTAACTGTGGGGGATGGACTGGTAGGAGAAGAAGATTCCATTATTAGCTGAGGGCAGGATAGACTTCCCTGAAGAGAGAGGTTTTCAGAGATCGCCTAAAAGTGAGCAGAGTAGGCGATAGTCCTATATATCTGGGTAGAGAGTACCAGAGGATGGGGGAAGCTCTGGAGAAGTCCTGGAGACGAGCATGGGAGGAGGAGACAAGGGAGCTAGAGAGCAGGAGGTTGTGGAAGGAGCGGAGAGTACGGTTTGGGTGATATTTGGAGACAAGATCGGTGATGTAATTTGGGGCAGAGTTATAAATGGCTTTATTAATTAACTGTTAATGGTTTGAATTTTATCCGTCGGGCAATGGGAAGCCAGTGGAGCGATTGGCAGAGAGGGGTGGAGGCCACTGAATGGAGACCAGTGGAGGGATTGGCAGAAAGGGGTAGGGGACACTGAATGGAGGCCAGTGGAGGGATTGGCAGAGAGGGGTGGAGGCCACTGAATGGAGGCCAGTGGAGGGATTGGCAGAGAGGGGTGGAGGCCACTGAATGGAGACCAGTGGAGGGATTGGCAGAGAGGGGTGGAGGACACCGAGTGGAGGCCAGTGAAGGGATTGGCAGAGAGGAGTGGAGGACACTGAATGGAGGCCAGTGGAGGGATTGGCAGAGAGGGGTGGCAGATACAGAACGGTTAGTAAGGTGGATGAGTCTGGCAGCAGCATTCATGATGGACTGGAGTGGGGATAGCCTGCGATGAGGTCAGCCAATGAGGAGGGAGTTACAATAGTCAAGGCGAGATATAACCAGGGAGTGGATAAGTTGCTTAGTGGTTTCCGAGGTTAGGAACGGTCGTATCCAGGGGCGGACTGACCATTTGAAAACTCGGGCACTGCCCGAGGGCCTGGGGTCAGTAGGGGGCCCCATGAGATGCCCCTGGTACCTTTTTCATAGGCTTTTTTGAGTTTGGGCAAGGACACAGGGGCCCCATGATGCCCTATTGCCCGGGGGCCCCATGAGTTGTCAGTCCGCCCCTGGTCGTATCTTGCAGATGTTGCTGAGGTGAAGTCTACAAGATTTGGACAGTGATTGGATTTGGGGCTGAAAGCCTCCAGCTTCAATAACAAACTCGACAGGTCAGTCTTTAGCTTCTTCCTCATCTGTTTTGTAGGACTGATATAGTAGGGCATTCCAAAGATCCTCCTTGATCCCGACTGGCCCAAGCAAATGTGGAACTCCCGCTTTTGTAAAAATCTTAATGGGTGTTGCCAGTTCACCTGCATTTTCTGTCACCAGGAACTATTTACTATCTTGCTTCATGGTCTTTGGCACTGATGGCATGGCTGATGAAGCCCAGGTTCCAAGAGATGGGGACAACTCCTGAATCTGTGATTCCTATGATGCTGAAATTTGGAGAAGGCTGCTTCCTGCGAGGTCTATTGTTGGACATGGAAAGTTCGCTTTCACTTGGTGCAAGTCTCTGGAGAGTCCACTTGGTGGGATGAATCTTCTCCTTCCTGCAGCTGGCCTTGATAAGCACTTGGCTCTTGGCATGGTCAGAGGGCAGGTTTCCATACTGTTTCAACAACCATTGGCCTCTCACTCCCTGATTAAGACCTGTTGTAGATATTTCAACAACCTATTCGCACTCGGTCCAGCCCGTGAAGGAGTACACAAACGCGTTCATAGAATGGTCTGAGCGTGGGACAGGTTTCCTTGGGAACAGACAGAAAACAAAGGAAAGCTTAAGGGCAGCTTATGTAGCCGGCATATGGTGCTTTTTCCGAGGTTCCCGATCAGGGTGCAGTTCCTTGTGGAGTCTCGGTCTACTCTTGGCTGGCTTGCCAATTGTAGATATTTCTGGCTGACACCATGAAAATCAAACAAAGTGTGCAACTGCATGAGAACAGAAGAGACGGGACTCCGGGTTCTGTCATCTTATTTTGTACCAGAGATAAGTGGTGGGGTGAGATGTTATTAGAAACCAGCAAGTCGGAGAAGGCCATAAACCTGCAGCTATCTAGGTGGCCTAGACAGATGACCATGCCACCTAATGGTCTCGAGGATCAGGTTCCTAAGACGCACTGCACTAGATCATAGTGTTTTTTTGGGCTTTTTGACATCGGGTATCTGTTCCCCAGGTTTACAAAGCCCAGTGTCCAATCCTTTTTGTAGGTGGCAGTATAACCCAACAGTCTCTGAATTCCTGCCTCCCTCAATGAGCTACAAGAAACGTTCCACCTTCCACCATTCTGCTGTAACGTTTTCCCATCTCTGTTCGTTCACAGAGAGTACCGGCCGTACGAACGTCTGCGCAGAGTTGCGGTATGTTAATCTTTTTATGTGGCCCTGCAGATGGGGAGGGCCCTGTGGGGTTAAAAATTTGTGACATTCTGATCTGTGTTTTCCATTATCAGGAGGAGGAGAAGAGGAAGGAACAGCAGGAGCAGCTGAACAGGCTCCATAGAGATATGGGCTCCGTGCCTCTGGACCCCGGGGCACTCCACAGGTAATAAGCGGTGGTTGGAGGACGCTTTTATGTAGGGTGATTTGGTGGTGCTATCTTGACGGGTCCCCTTTGTAACGAGCTGGTTGTAATTGCATGGGGGGGGGGGGGGGGGGGGGGGTAGGGTGAAGGTTGTCTTGTAGAAATATCTCATCCTACGTCCTTTGTTTTGTAGAGGAGGACATGGCAGGTCCATCAGATCTTATCCTGACACGTGGAAATATGGAAGAGGAAGAGCCAGAGGACAGCGACACAGACGACATTGACCACACCGGTGAGACCTTCTCCCTGAATGGGGATCTGTGTGTGTGATACAGCATTGGGGGGGCGAACATTTTGAGCTCAGTAAGGATATGAGATCTCCTCTGATAATATAGGATGGATCAGGATCTACTCCTCTCCAGTTCTCCCACTTTGCAAATAGAGGCACCTCCTTCAGTCCCACCCCCTTTTTGGAAATGTAGGCACCTCCTCCCTCTTTGGGGAAACTAGGTGCCTCCTTCCCCCTTTTTGATAGTTTAGACACCTCTTTCAGACCCACCACCCCTTTGGGAATTTTAGGTACATCCTCCCTCTTCGGAAATTTAGGTACCTCCTTCAACCCCTCCTCACCTTTTGGGAATTTAGGCTCCTCCTCTCTTCAGGAATCTAGGTGCCAACTTTCTCCTTTTTTGGGAATTTAGGTACCTCCTTCAAGCCCATTCCAGCTCCCCCTTGGGAATTTAGGCTCCTCCTTCCCCTTCTGGGAATTTAGGTGCCCCACCACCCCTTTGGGAATTTGGGCACACCCTCTCTCTTTGGAAATTTAGGCATCTCCTTCAAACCAATTGCCCCCCCCCCCCGGCTGCCTGGGAATTTAGGCACCTCCTTCCTCTTTGAGAATATAGGTGCCTCCTTCCCCCTTTTGGAAATTAGGTACTTCCTTAAACCTCATCCCGCCCCTTATAGAAATTTAGAGGTAGCACCTCTCTATGGCAATCTAGGTGCCTCCTTTCCCCTTTTGAATTTAAGTACCCTCTTCCAAGCCCCCCCCAATCCTTTGGGAATTTGGACACCTCCTCCCTCTTTGGAAATATAGGCATCTCCTTCAAGCCATTTACACAAACACCCCCCCCCCCCCCCCCCCCCCCCCCGTTCCTGCTTCCTGGAAAGTTAGGCACCTCTTTCCTCTTTGAGAATATAGGTGTCTCCTTTTCGTTTTTGGGAATTGGGTACCTCCTTAAACCTCAGCCCTCCGCTTTTGGGAATATAGGCACCACTTCTCTTTGGCAATCTAGGTGCCCCTTTTTGAATTTAAGCACCCTCTTTCAAGCCCCCCCCAACCATTTGGGAAATTTGGGTAACTCTTTCCTTCTTTTGAAAATTGGGTACCTCCTTCAAACCAGCCCCCCACTTTTGGGAATTGAGGCACCTCCTCTTTTTGGCAATCTAGGTGCTTCCTTTCCTCTTTTTGCATTTAAGCTCCCTCTTTCAAGTCCCCCCACAACCCTTTGGGTATTTGGTCTCCTCCTCCCTCTTTGAGAGGTTTAGCCAACTCCTTCCCCTTTTTGGAGATTAGGTACCTCCTTGAACCCCAGGCACCTCCTTGAACCCCCGTCCCATCTTTTGGGAATGTAAGCACCTCCTTGAACCCGTCACACCTTTTAGGGGAAGTGCCTAAATTCCCAGGAGGAGGAGGAGCCTAAATGTCCAAAGGGTTGGGGGGGGGGGGTTAAAAGACGGTGCCTAAATTTAAAAAAGGGGAATAGAGGCACGTAGATTTGGGAATTTAGGCACCTCCCCTATCTTTTGACTATCTACATGCCTCCATTCCCCCTTTTTTAATTTAGGCACTGTCTTTCAAGCCCCCCCCCCCCCCCCAACCCTTTGGACATTTAGGCTCCTCCCTCTTTGGGAATTTAGGCACTTACCCTAAAAGGTGTGACGGGTTTAAGGAGGTGCTTACATTCCCAAAAGGTGGGGCGGGGGTTGAAGGAGGTACCTAATCTTCAAAAAGGGGAAGGAGGTGCCTAAATTCCCAATCTTTTGACAATCTACGTGCTTCTTGTTCCCTTTTTTTTTTTTTAATTTAGGCAGTCTTTCAAGCCCCCCCAACCCTTTGGAAATTTAGGCTCCTCCCTCTTTGAGAATCTAGGTGCCTCCTCCCCCCTTTGGAAATTAGGTACCTCCTTAATCCCCAGCCACTCTCATTTTGGAAATTCAGGCACCTCCTTGAACCCCCCTCCCACCTATTGGGAATTTAGGCACCTCCTCTCTCTTTGGGAATCTAGGTGCCTCCTTTCTCCCTTGGGAATTTAGGCAGCACCTTACTGTTTGGGAATCTAGGTGCCTCCTTCAGTCCCTGCCCCACCTTTGGGAATTAAGGAGCCTCATCGCTCTTTTGGAATCTAGATGTCTCCTTTATACCCACCAACCCCCCCCCCGCCCCACCTTTTGGAAATTTTAGATGCCTCACTCCATATGACCTTTTTAGTGAGTTTAAAAATCCAGGTGGGTAAGGACTTCAATGACAAATATTACATCTGCACTGTGGGTGCCTCACTGACAATTTATGTACTTGAGCTATGAGACCGCTGCAGTGAGGGGTGTCATACAGGGAAGGGTGTCATGAGAGATCCAAGTCCCTGCCTTCCTTTGCCTCTATTATCACTGTGATGCAATGGGGCCATGCCAGACGGGTGAAGGCGATGTCTCTCTGCCTTTGTTTTGGAAAGCTGAGCACCATGGAGTCTACCTGGATCTGCACCGTATGTATATATAATCTTCCATATTATCTCCCCCCCGCAGTGGCCGAGACCCGACTGGAGGAACCGGCTTTCCAGAACTTCCTGCAGCAGACAAAGAGCAAGTATCGGGAGAAGATAGAGAAGTGATGGCGGCTCGGTGTGGTCAGTGAGGAGCCCCAATGAGAGACCATATCGCCCCCCTCTGGATCCAGGCTATGAAGAGTGAAAAAAGCATCAGCCTCTGTGACTTGCGCTATTTTTGCGTTGCTGCTGCCGATGTGCGATTGGTCAGCTTGAGCGCTGCCCTGGATGATGCTTTTACTTGCTGTGTGATAAATTACCAGAACTGTTTATTTCTATACAATATATTATTCCTGGTTTTGTAATAGTCTCAGTATTGTTTTATGTGTTGGCTACAGAACATGGAAGGAGTGACCCCCTCCCCCCATATGGTATTTTATGAAAGGACATGAGTGACACCTGCTGACAATAGTAGGCACTACACTAGATTGTGTAACAAGGGACAGAGGTGACCTCTGCTGCCAGTGGCAGGTACTACGAGGTGACGTGGAAGGGACAGGAGTGACCACCTGCTGCCAGTGGCAAATACTACATGGTACTGGGCAATGAGGCAGGAGTGACCCCCCCCCCCCCCCCTGCTGCCAGTGGCAGGTACTACATGGTACTGGGCAACGAGGGGCAGAAGTGACCACCTGCTGCCAGTGGCAGGTACTACATGGCCCAGGGCAACGAGGGGTAGAAGTGACCACCTGCTGCCAGTGGCAGGTACTACATGGCCCAGTGCAACGAGGGGCAGGAGTGACCACCTGCTGCCAGTGCCAGATACTACATGGCCCAGTGCAACGAGGGGCAGGAGTGACCACCTGCTGCCAGTGGCAGGTACTACATGGCCCAGGGCAACGAGGGGCAGGAGTTACCACCTGCTGCCAGTGGCAGATACTACATGGCCCAGGGCAACGAGGGGCAGGAGTGACCACCTGCTGCCAGTGGCAGGTACTACATGGTACTGGGCAATGAGAGGCAGGAGTGACCCCCTGCTGCCAGTGGCAGGTACTACATGGCCCAGTGCAACGAGGGGCAGGAGTGACCACCTGCTGCCAGTGGCAGGTACTACATGGCCCAGTGCAACGAGGGGCAGGAGTGACCCCCTGCTGCCAGTGGCAGGTACTACATGGCCCAGTGCAACGAGGGGCAGGAGTGACCCCCTGCTGCCAGTGGCAGGTACTACATGGCCCAGTGCAACGAGGGGCAGGAGTGACCCCCCGCCAGTGCCCCCCTGCCAGTGGTAGGTATTACATGGCACTGGGCAACGAGAGGCGGCAGTGACCCCTGCTGCCAATGGCAGGTATTACATGGCCCTGGGCAATGAGGAGCAGGAGTGACTCCTGCTGTCAACGGTAGGTACTACACCACACCATGTAACAAGACAGGAGTTACACTTGATGGCAAGGGCAGGTACTACATTGCACCCTGCACTGAGGAACAGTAATAACTCCTGCTGGTAGCAGTAGCTAGCACATTGCATCTATAAGGAGACGGGTGACTCCAGCGCGCCAGCAGTGGTTACAGCACTTATCCAACATATAGCTAGAGTTATCTCTGCACCATCCACGGTCAGGATGGCACTGGGCAATGAGGGGCATGAGTGACCCCTGAGTGGACATAATTTGATATTGGAAAACAAGGGCTAGGCAAGAGTCAGTTACTGGTACTTGAACCCTGCCCCACACCCAGTGTGCAGTCCCTCTGAGGGTTCTGGCCAGCATGATTGTATATGGCAACCTGTGCAAACATTTTCTGAAGTGCTGTCAAGGTATGATAGAAGACTTTTACAAACCCTTTGTAACATCTTAAAAAATTTGAAAGAAAAAAAAAAAGTGATTGTTGAGAAGCGGGCGGAGTGCCCCTACAGGTTCCGTGCTGTGCAGAGTGGGTGTTGGGTAGGATAAGTGACTGGGACTACACATTGTGCTCTGATACAGTAGTGCTAGAAAGGGGAAGACACCACTTCCATTCCAAATTGTGATAGGGTGCCACCACAGGGATCTGCTTTGAGGTCCATGATGTTCTGAACACAACAGTATGTCCACAGTGAAAGCCTGCGGGGCGCTATTCAACCCAAGAATGCTGGGACATCTAGTGCAGAGGCTGGCTCTGGAGGAAAGGGGACTAATGCAATCTTGAGGTTGGCACTTATGAAAATTGGTCATTTAATTTGCAGATGCCACTAACAGTCACCTGGAGCCAGGGGCGGACTGACCATTTGGAAGAGTCAGTAGGGGGCCCCATGAGATGCCCATGGTACCTTTGTCATAGGCTTTTTTGATTTTAGGCAAGGACACAGGGGCCCCATGATTTACTATTGCCCGGGGGCCCCATGAGTTGTCAGTCCGCCCCTGCCTGGAGCATGCCATTTGTTACATGATATTCTTGTATAAAGATACAGCTAGCCTGTAACTAGGATGACTTTTCAGTATTTCATGACATAGCTCATTTTATACCCAGTGATGTCATCACAGGCTCTCTGTGCTTCTCTATGCAATGGCTGGTAGGGTGCTGTACATAGCGTCCTGAAACATCTCAGTACTTCTCTCAAGAACCCCTCAGTGCTAATGCAAATAGTGGCTGGTTCTTGGGGGAATTTATACAAATGTCATTGCCTTGATGGGTGGATGGCGATCTGCCATCCTAGGCAGGCTCTATTTGCATGAAAGCCCAACTAGGTAACGCCCACATGTGATGCTGAGCTCTTGCATGGCACATAGGAAGGGGTTTCCCTAAATCTATAACTAGGTTGGGAAAGTGACAGGGTCTCTTTAACCGCTTCCATGCCACCCTATAACAGAAATACTGCACAGGTGCGCAAAATCGTGTATACAGGTAGGTCCATATATATTTGGTCACAGGCACAATTTTTATAATTTTGGCTGTGTGTCACCAGAATACATTAAAATCAAACAATCCAAATGCATTTGAAGTGCAGATTTTCAGCTTTAATTCAAGGGGTTGAACATAAATATCAAGTACACATTTTAGAAACTGCAGCCATCTTTATACACAGTACCTCCATTTTCAGGGGCTCAAATGTGATTGGACAATTGAATATAATCAGAAATAAAATGTTCATTTGTAATATTTTGTTGAAAAGCCTTTACTGACAATGACTGCCTGTAAGGGACCGCCTGGCGGTACCACTAACACTCCACTGAATAGGCGTCCCCAGCGCACGGAATCTAAGTCCCAGGGTGCTTGTTCACCAGGGCCCCTGATGGTGGGGATGGACTTGGAGCCCCCCGAGACCAGGTCGTGGCTACTGGGTGCGTCTGTCAGTGGTAGAGGTATGCGCCAAGGGCTCCCACGGGGAAGAGTCTGATGTGAGGAGGTCAGAAGACCCCACTGCAAGGGATGGATGGATGAGAGCAAGGTCAGACGGGCCGGGTCGGTAACAGAGAGGACGGCAAGGTACAAGGCAGCGGGCATAAAATGGTCGGGTCACACACCAGGTCAGCAACAGCAGGTCAAATCAATCACAGGCATTCAGGAGAGAGGTCAGGCAAAGCAAGGGTCAGAATAGGAGAAAGCAGCAAGGTCAGGTACAATCCGGGTCAAAACTTACAAGGTACAGGTTCGCAGGATGCAGGGAAGACCAGAAGGCACTGAATGACAGCTCAGGGCCATTTAAATATCCCGCCCTGCGCTGCCATTGGTGCCCAGCGGACCTAGTGCCCATGTCCCTGCACAGTGCGGTGCACTGCGCCTGCGCCGGGACCATCGCAGCGGGGATCGAGGAGATCCCTGACACTGCCTGAAGTCTGGAACCCATGGACATGACCAAAGACTGGGTATCCCCCTTTCTGATGCTTTGCCTGAAATCTGGAACCCATGGACATGACCAAAAGACTGGCTTTCCTCCTTTCTGATGCTTTGCCTGAAGTCTGGAACCCATGGACATGACCAAAGACTGGGTATCCCTCCTTTCTGATGCTTTGCCTGAAGTCTGGAACCCATGGACATGACCAAAGACTGGGTATCCCCCTTTCTGATGCTTTGCCTGAAATCTGGAACCCATGGACATGACCAAAGACTGGCTTTCCTCCTTTCTGATGCTTTGCCTGAAGTCTGGAACCCATGGACATGACCAAAGACTGGGTATCCCCCTTTCTGATGCTTTGCCTGAAATCTGGAAAGGACATGACCAAAGACTGGGTTTCCTCCTTTCTGATGCTTTGCCTGAAGTCTGGAACCCATGGACATGACCAAAGACTGGGTTTCCTCCTTTTTAAAGCTTTGCCTGAAGCCTGGAACCCATGGACATCACCAAAGACTGGGTTTCCTCCTTTCTGATGCTTTGCCTGAAGTCTGGAACCCATGGACATGACCAAAGACTGGCTTTCCTCCTTTCTGAAAGACCCATGGGTTGACCAAAGACTTTCCTCCTTTCTATGCTTTGCCTGAAGCTGGAACCCATGACATCACCAAAGACTGGGTTTCCTCCTTTTCTGATGCTTTGCCTGAAGTCTGGAACCCATGACATGACCAAAGACTGGGTTTTCTTCCTTTCAGATGCTTTGCCAGGCTCTAACTGCAGCTGTCTTCAGTTGTTCTTTGTTTGCGGGTCTTTCTGCCTTTAGTTTTGCCTTCAGCAAGTGAAATGCATGCTCAATGGGGTTAAGATCAGGTGATTGACATGGCCATTGCAGACTATTCCACTTCTTTTCCTTCGAAAGCTCCTGGGTTGCTTTTGCAGTGTGTTTTGGATCGTTGTCCATCTGTACTGTGAAGTGTCGTCCAATCAGCTTTGCTGCATTTGGCTGAATCTGGGCTGACAGTATATCTGTAAACACGGCAGAATTCATCCGGCTGCTTCTGTCTTCTGTCACATCATCAATAACCACCAATGACCCAGTGCCACTGGAAGCCATGCATGCCCATGCCATCACACTGCCTCCACCATGTTTTACAGATGACGTTGTGTGCTTTGGATCATGAGCTGTTCCAAGCCTTCTCCACACTTTTTTCTTCCCGTCATTCTGGTACAGATTCATCTTAGTTTCATCCGTCCAAAGAATGCTTTTCCAGAACTGGTCTGGATTTTTAGATGTTTTTTGGCAAAGTCTAACCTGGCTTTTCTATTCTTCAGACTTATGAATGGTTTGCACCTAGTGGTGAACCCTCTGTATTTGCTCTCGTGAAGTCTTCTCTTGATTGTAGACTTTTGACAATGATATGTCCACCTCCGGAAGAGTGTCCTTCACTTGTCTGGATGTTGGGAATGGGTTTTTCTTTACCATAGAGAGATCCTGCGATCATCCACCACTGTTGTCTTCCGTGGACCTCCATGCCTTTTTATGTTGCTGAGCTCACCAGTGCGTTCTTCTTTCCTCAGAATGTACCAAACTGCTGATTTGGCCGCTCCTAATGTTGCTGCTATCTCTCTGATGGATTTGTTTTATTTTTGAAGCCTTCCAATGGCCTGTTTCACTTGCATGGACAGCTCCTTTGAACACATGATGTAGGTTCCCAGCAATAGATTCCACATGCAAATACCGCACTTAGAATCAACTGCAGACCTTTTATCTGCTTAATTGCTGAAGAAATAACGAAGGAGTAGCCCACACCTGGCCATGAAACAGCTTTTGATTCAACTGTCCAATTACTATTTGTCCCTTGAAAAAGGGGGGGTGGCTACTCTTAAGAGCTCTAATTCCTAAACCCTTCCTCCAGTTTGGATGTACATACCCTCAAATTACACCCGAGAGTGCGCACTTTCAGCCCATATCCATTATAGAACTAGAGCTGAATATGTTTTGCTAAATAGCTGAAAAAATTAAAATTCTTCCTGTGTCCAAATATATATAGACCCAACTGTATATAAATGATTTTGCAATTCCAGGTAGGGGGCGTGCGCGCACCATTCGCGGCCTCGGCTGTCAATCACCGGGTCTCAGCCGGTGATTCCCGACAGGGGAGAGACCTGTTTGTAAACAATACAGATCTCTTCCGTCAGCTCCTGCACACTGCTTTGTCTGCATAGCAGCATGTCTTCCTAGTAAAAACAGCACACAGTTAACCCTTTGATTGCCCCACGTTTACCCCTTCCTGCCCAGTGCCATTAGTACAGTGTCGATGCTCTGTATTAGCACTGATCACTGTATTGGATTGGTGCCACTGGGGATGTCAGTGGCAGTTCCCACCCAGTATCAGAATGCCCACCGCAGTCCCGCTGATCACTGCCATTACTAGTATAAAAAAAAAAAAAAAATCCATATATACATATAATAATATATATATATATATATATATATATATATATAGACATTGTAACTTTCACATAAACCAATTAATTTACATTATCTTTTTTAGCGAAGACACAGAGCAGAATACATTTTGGCCTAAATTTATGACGATATTTGATTTTTACAATTTTTTTACTGGACATGTTTAATAGCAAAAAGTAAAAAAATATTTTTTTTCAAAATTGGTCTTTTTTTGTTTATAGCACAAAAAATTAAAAAAAAAAAACATAAGCAATCAAATAACAAAGAAAGCTCGATTTGTGGGGAAAAAAAGAAAAATTTCATTTGGGTGCAGCGTTGCATGACTGCGCAATTGTCAAAATAACGCAGCGCCGTATCGCAAAAAATAGCCTGGTCAGGAAGGGGGGTAAATGGTTAAGGTGGAGCCTGTAATGTCAGCTGTACAGACTGGCTCCTGATTGGATGGAGCACAGAGAGGTGGTGGCTCCTCCCCGGAGGAACCAAGACCACCATCATCATCATCTGGGAATATCAGATACAATGTATTATAATAATCAGATAAAAATACACAATTTATTCACCAAATTTATTCCAAGTATCTTTTCATTTCCTGTTCAACCCTTAAAAAATAAAACATTGAATTTACATTTTATACAAAATCTTATTCAAATATTTATAACTGAACATTAAAGCTGAGCTCCGGGAATTCAGCCACTTGCTAGGAGTTAATTAGAACGAGGTGCATGCAAACCCCTTGCCACCCGCTCAGCCTCCTTTTAAAAGGTTTGATATGCCCAGGGCAAGCGGAAAGAATTGGCCGATCACATGACCACCGTATTTGGCTATCACAGTGGTTACGATTGGGAGCCAGTCCTGTTGATTTAGTAGGGACTGAGAGCTGTCTTTGACAGCTCAGTCTGTGCTGGGAACGTGCAGTGAGCCCAACATCGCCCCCTCATGGACACATATGTGAAGTGACTGGGTGTTAAGCCCCAACCTTTTGAGTGTGTTACACAAGCGATGAAGGGTTTATTTCCATCTGGCAATTTTCCGGAGCTCTGGGAGAACAGCTACGGTTACTCTCCTGGAGCTCAGACTGGAGAGACGCTGTTTGGTCATACAGCAGTCGCAGTGGCCATCCCTCTCCTCCGCCGTTCATTCACAGAAGCCTTTGCATTTTGTCTATGAATTCACAAAATTTTGTGAGTGAATGTGATAGGGAGGGGGCGGGAACAATGGATGCATCCAACTCTACAGGTGCAGTACCTAAGACCAGAAGTTGGAGGGTGGGAGCTCCGGAAGTACAGCGATAGCTATATGCTCCCTGCACACAATAAAAACAACAATTGTCAATTATAGAGATAAGTCCAGGAGGTAGCATGCACCCTGCTGGCCTTAACCCACAGTAATTCAGAGCACTGAACAAAGTGGCTGAATTCCTTGAGTTCAGTTTTAAAAGAGAAACATGGCCCTCCTTGGGGTAAGTTGCTCTGCCTTGACAAATTAAAGTGGAACTCTGACCAAAAAAAGACACATACAACACAGGCTGATGGTAACTATGATAGCAGTTTCATTTTTTGGAGTCCCGCCGTGTATCATTGCCATAATCTGTGATCCTGCCAGTAGGCCTAGGATTTTGGTGCCAGGACAACAAAGGCCCCTGATAATAAAACCAAAGAGAAGAGCACAGAACTGGACTGACAGTACCAGCCAGGCACTGTTCACCTTCCTGTAATGTACATGGTTGTGTCCCTGGCACAGAGCTGGACTGACAGTACCAGCCAGGCACTGACCACCTCCCTGTAAAGTACATGGTTGTGTCCCCGGCACAGAGCTGGACTGACAGTACCAGCCAGGCACTGACCACCTCCCTGTAAAGTACATGGTTGTGTCCCCGGCGCAGAGCTGGACTGACAGTACCAGCCAGGCACTGTCCACCTTCCTGTAATGTACATGGTTGTGTCCCCGGCACAGAGCTGGACTGACAGTACCAGTCAGGCACGGACCACCTTCCTGTAATGTACATGGTTGTGTCCCTGGCACAGAGCTGGACTGACAGTACCAGCCAGGCACTGACCACCATCCTGTAATGTACATGGTAGTGTCCCCGACACAGAACTGGACTGACAGTACCAGCCAGGCAGTGTCCTCCTCTGTAATGTACATGGTAGTGTCCCCGGCACAGAGCTGGACTGACAGTACCAGCCAGGCATGAACTTTAAAATGAAGAGAAAAGTAAAGTGCAGCAGAATGGATAAGAAAGAAAAGACACGCCAACCCCCATACAATGATATACAACTGTCCATACAGAAAGTCCCATCCTGCAGTGAGGACCTCCGTGTTCCCTGAACGGTCCTGACATGGGATCTCTGTGCTTGTCCTTAGAGTGCTGGGGACGGATCGACACAAATCATCATCTGCCGCTGTCTGTGAACCGTTCTATAGATTTCCAGATAGGTCGTTGTGATCAGGGGGTGGGGAGTCTGATGTTGTGGATGTAAACATGTCCCCCGGTCATCCGCCTACAGACTCTTCACCTTCTTCCTCTGCGTGCACCACAGCAGGACGGACAGAGTGACGGTGACGGAGGACAGGATCCCGAAGAACATGAGTGTTGGGAAGGAGCCCTGCAGGGGAGAACATGTTATATTCCAGAAAATTCTTCCCGACTTCCAACCGCTGCCTGCCTAGATACCAAAGAATGCTGTATATACAGGAATACCCCCCATGGAAACCACAGAGAGTATAGGAACCATAGAGAATATATAGGGGACCTCCCACCTGAAAACCATAGCGAATATACAGGGGACCTCCCACCTGAGAACCATAGAGATTATACAGGGGACCTCCCACCTGAGAATCATAGAGAATATACAGGGGACCTCCCCCATGTAGGAACCATAGAGAATATACAAGGAACCCTCCTAGGGGGACCATAGAGAATATACAGGGTTCTCCCATCTGAGAACCATAGAGAATATACTGGGTCCCTCCCACCTGGGAACCATAGAGATTATACAGGGGACCTCCCCCATGTAGGAACCATAGAGAATATACAAGGAACCCTCCTAGGGGGACCATAGAGAATATACAGGGTTCTCCCATCTAAGAACCATAGAGAATATACTGGGTCCCTCCCACCTGGGAACCATAGAGAATATACTGGGTCCCTCCCGCCTGGGAACCATAGAGAATATACAAGGAACCCTCCTAGGGGGACCATAGAGAATATACAGGGTTCTCCCATCTAAGAACCATAGAGAATATACTGGGTCCCTCCCACCTGGGAACCATAGAGAATATACTGGGTCCCTCCCGCCTGGGAACCATAGAGAATATACTGGGTCCCTCCCACCTGGGAACCATAGAGAATATACTGGGTCCCTCCCGCTTGAGAACCATAGAGAATATACTGGGTCCCTCCCTCCTGAGAACCATAGAGAATATACAGGAGACCTCCTGCCTGGGCACAATAGAGAATATACAGGCGACCTCCTGCCTGGGAACCATAGAGAATATACAGGCGACCTCCTGCCTGGGAATCATAGAGAATATAAAGGGAACCTCCCGCCTGGGAACCATAGAGAATATACAGGGGACCTCCCGCCTGGGAACCATAGAGAATATACAGAGGACCTCCCGCCTGGGAACCATAGAGAATATACAGGCGACCTCCCGCCTGGGAACCATAGAGAATATACAGGGGATCTCCCACCTGAGAACCATAGAGAATATACAGGGGACCTCCCTCCTGGGAACCATAGAGAATATACAGGGGACCTCCCACCTGGGAACCATAGAGAATATACAGGGGACCTCCCACCTGGGAACCATAGAGAATGTACAGGGGACCTCCCACCTGGGAACCATAGAGAATATACAGGGGATCTCCCACCTGGGAACCATAGAGAATATACAGGGGACCTCCCACCTGGGAACCATAGAGAATATACAGGGGACCTCCCACCTGGGAACCATAGAGAATATACAGGGGACCTCCCACCTGAGAACCATAGAGAATATATAGGGGACCTCTCACCTGGGAACCATAGAGAAAATACAGGGGACCTCCCACCTGGGAACCATAGAGAATATATAGGGGATCTCCCGCCTGGGAACCATAGAGAGTATATAGGGGACCTCCCACCTGGGAACCATAGAGAATATACAGGGGACCTCTCACCTGGGAACCATAGAGAATATATAGGGGACCTCCCACCTGGGAACCATAGAGAGTATATAGGAGGCCTCCCACCTGAGAACCATAGAGATTATACAGGGAACCTCCCCCCGTGTAGGAACCATAGAGAATATACAAGGAACCCTCCTAGGGGGACCATAGAGAATATACAGGGTTCTCCCATCTGAGAACCATAGAGAATATACTGGGTCCCTCCCGCCTGGGAACCATAGAGAATATACAGGTGACCTCCTGCCTGGGAACCATAGAGAATATACAGGGGACCTTCTGCCTAGGAACCATAGAGAATATACAGGGAACCTCCCCCGTGTAGGAACCATAGAGAATATACAAGGAACCCTCCTAGGGGGACCATAGAGAATATACAGGGTTCTCCCATCTGGAAACCATAGAAAAAAATACAGGGGACCTCCCGTCTGGAAACCACAGAGAAAATACAGGGGATCTCCTGCCTGGGAACCATAGAGAATATACAGGGGACCTCCCCCATGTAGGAACCATAGAGAATTTACAGAGACCCCCCCCCCCCCCCCCCCAACCCCCTCCCATGTAGGAACCATGGAGAATATACAGAGACCCCCCCCCAAACCCCCCTGTGTAGGAACCATAGAGAATATACAGGGGAACTCCCACCTGGGCACCACAGAGAATATACAAGAACCCCTCCTATGGGAATTATAGAGAATATACAGGAACCCCCGTAAAGGAACCATAGAGAATATACAGGGACCAACCTATAACAGTTGTGTTTACACTGCCACTAACAGGAGGATTGGACACCGGAAAAGAGAAAAATCATGAGCCAGCCCCCAGTATAACTCCTCCTCTACCCAGCATGCCTCAGTTTTGTGATAAAACAGTACTAAGGGCATTATCAAAACCACAGAAGGGTGGGACTGGTGTCCCCCAATGGGCTCCAAGAAATTATTTTACAGTGAGTACAAAAACCCTGTTTCCTTATTCGTTCATTGAGAGAAACAGGAATTCTTTCACCTTCAAGATGTTCAAAAGTAGTCCAACTAAAAGAGGAGCAAAAGCAAAAAAAACCCATTAACAGGTCTCACAAGGAGAATTGAGTGCCCCCTGCAGCCCAGTAGCTGCTTGGAGGACGAACGCTCAAATCTGAATGCATGAGGCTTCCTTACTAGATAAGTGAATCAGCCAACTGAACCACAGGATGGAGCTGATCAGGACTGAGAGGGCTTCCACCAGAGGGGAAAATGAAACCTAGCCAGTGAGAAGGTGTTCAACAGGAACCCAACACTGGTAGAACCAAAAGAAAATTCTCACCAGGTGAGAAGGACAGGCAAATTGGTATGGTTACCACAATAAACCAGATGGGGAAGCCTCCCGAAAGAATAGGTCCAAAAAAAAAAAAAAAACCCACAGTATAAAAACAAGCTAGACAGACTTTACCAGGCCCAAGAACGAACATCCCTAATCCCTAGGGAAAGGGTATAAACTCAGTGACTAAAGGAATTTAACTAGCCATACAACCAATTTCACTGGCGCGGTACACCAAGGGTGTATTGGTAATAGGGCACAAGAGAATGAAGAGACCTCTGAGACTAGCATACAGACCAAGGGTTTGATCTCACAGATAAACATAACAGAAGGAAGAGGGTGCAAGGATAACACCACCACCACAAGGGTAGGCATGAATAAGAATTAGGTCTCAGCCCCCCATTGGTGAGATGGGGACCATTAATAGATACTAATAACTTAAACTTTCCCTTGTGGCCCCCTGAGGTAACACTGGGGCACAAGAACGCTTCAGATCCAAAACCTCCACCACAGCCCTGGTTCTAAGATGCTCCTGAGGTCCAATGAAGCATCAACAGCCATGGAGCATATACCCAATTATGGGTAGGACAAGGGAAGGTAAGTGGAGGACCTCCCTCAGGAGGCTGCTGATCAGTCAAGGGAACGGGGACCAATCCCCTGGTGAAGAGGTCTCACAAAGTCCTCTAGACATAAACATTCTTCAGCAGAGAATTCCTGCAACAAGGAACTAGGGTATTCCACCAGTTGACAATCCAGGGAGGCACTAGGGACCATCAGCAGTGATCTCAGATCATTATGAAGAATCTGAGGCACACCCAACCTAGGTGCTGACATACCTCTCCTCCCAGTGCAGACACTGCTGGTGGAGGACAGCCAGGTTCCAAGGCAATGTTTGAGCAATGTTCCTATGCTCAGCATCATCCAATGTAGGGGTCAGCAAACTCTTACTTTTGCAAGAGGGACTCCCACTTCTTCCTGGAGAGGAAGGCACTGGAACACCTTAATGGCTTTCCACCAGAGTCAAGGCAGAGTCCCCTGACATGGAGGGAACCAATTGTTAAGGGGATGGAGAGGTACTCCAGCAAGTGGAATACCCCAAGCATAACTGGACTACCCCCAGTCACCTGAGGAAGCTGAAGAGGTACAGCAGGGACTACCTGATCTACAGAGACAGGACAGCAGGCCTGCTCAGACCTCAAACCCATGACCCCATGGAGGAGGACTGAAGGAAGCCAAGCAAGAGTTGGAGGTTATTCTGAGTGGGGATTTCCACCAAGCCCTACACTGCCTCAAAGAAGGGAAGAACTCCTTGACTGATAACAATGCTGCAAAAGGTACACAAGCTCTGGACCCTTTAGATATGGCTTAAGCTGGACCACCTCACTCACTGGTGACAAAAACCCAGAGAGGCCGGATCTTACAAGAGTCAAGTTCCTTTGGAAAAGGTGTTGACTACAAGAATCCATAAAGCGAACTCTCATTACAGCAGGTCACCTGAGCATCCCACAATGGGAATGGCCAGAAGACACTACGCCAATGGTGCCACCATTGATTTCGAAATTCGACCAACCAAGCCTTCAATTTCACCTCATGTTGCTAAAGAAAATAATTTTTTTTGGCTGGGAATCTTCTTTTCGAGGTCACAGCTCATACTAATTTCTTTTTCGATTATATTTCTTGCACGATGCTCCCATCACTGATTAGAAATTCGTTCATTTTTCCAAAATATCCAACATGCCCGATCACCTAAATTCGGTGGCCACATGAAAATCGGCCAATGCTGTGGTCCACTAATGGTGCAAAATCTGAACAAAAATTCTTAGTTACGATTTTTTTTGAAAGAAATTTCTTTCGCCATTCGACCCGTGTATGGCCTGCATAGGACTAGCACAAGGGGACCCTACTTGAGAAGAATGCAAATGGACTTGGTTAGGTGCAGGGTTCTAAACAGAACGACAGGAGGAGTAAGGAGGAACTGATAGGGGACAGAAACAAAGATTAGCCTGTGGGCTAAAAGGGGGGCTGAGCTACCAGAACTTCAGTGCCCAAGATAAAAACTCATGTAAAAATGGAGGAGCACCTTTATTCTAAAGGATTAGTTGGACCGTTCAGTCAGGCTCCAAGGGCACCTACTGTAGAAGTAGATGAAGGATAAGGGTGGGCTTCAACCAGCCTCTCTCTAGCTCTCCTATGTTGCGGCTGAAGTACGCTCTGGCCTCTCCTGACATCACTGACCACAGTGTCCACATGGGGCTGAAGAAACATCATCTATCAATAGCCAACCGAATCAGATGCTCTTTGAATAGATCAATACGTTCTGCTGGACATCAAACCCAAGCAGGATATAACTTGGATGCCAATAACAATCCATCACAACTCTGAAGCATAAAGCTCCAAACATTTTGCTTCACCAGCTCTTTGAAATGGGGGTCCACCCCAGTTGAGGAGGGAACCTTTCGGAAGGGAATTAATCCAACGTCACAACGTGACAGATTAAGGTCACTGGCAACACATGGCGGAGAGCAGAACCAACTGGTTCACACTAGGATCTGAGGAGATATTCTGTGAAATTAAAAGGTAGGCAAGACTTCCACTTGACTACTGGTGTTCCTGTTGACGTGGGTCACTCAGGACTTTTCACCCCGAGTGCAAGAATCCATAAAGCTAACTCTCATTACAAGAGGTCACCTGAGTATCCTACAATGGGAATGGTCAGAAGGCACTAGGCTGAACACTCCGATAAACCCCTAATGTGCCTGATCAACATCGAGGAGCCAAGTCCTTGTCCAAGTAGAGAAAAAAAAGTTAGAGCTAGTCCCAGATGGCTTTGTATGTCAAAGTCCTGCTGGAGATGAGGGACCCTAAAGGGTACCATGTACCATGAGGGGCAGTTCATGTCTCAGGGACTGGGGGTGCCTTATGTATCCGTTGAAAGTTAGATACTCCCTCCACCCAATTATTGGTGTTCCTGTTAAGGTGGATCACTGGTTGATTCACTGTTGGAACAACTTACCATTTATCCCATTTTCCCTTTCAAAGGGGAACATTTCCAACACACTCTCAGATGGGACCCATGACCCTTCAAGTGTGCTTCCAGTCCACACAGAGGAATACATCAAAATATATAAGGGGAAGGTTTTATACTGCAAATACAGGACAGACTGCACTGCATAAATTTAGTCCAATACGACCCTCCTGTAAACCTGGGGTGATGGCAGGAGGTTGTGGGGATTCTCCCTGGAAATAGACTGTTGGATTTCTGAGTCAGAGACTGTCTCAGGGACCAGTGATCTGGCCTGATCTAAGGCCTCTGGAGTGCCAGAGATCGGCTCTGCTGGAGCGCGTTGAGACCCCTCTGCGATCAATGTGCATTAAGAGATGGGCACACATGGTCAAAAAGTCGAGAACCCTGAGAAATGGGTCGGGGACTGAACCCCTTCCGAGGGAGCTGAGGAAGACTCAGATGAAGACAACACAACACTGGGTGTCTCGGATTCCAGATTACAGGTGCCGGTTTCTAAAGGGGATCCCAAGTAGCTGCCCTCAAAACCGCAAGGGTCATCTGTGTTAGCGGGATTGTCCCCTGTGCGGGCATGTTGTGGCTGTGCAGTGGTGATGCAAATAGGTTCAATGTAAGGCAAGGCCTCAGGTACTCACAAACCCAAGAAGCTGGTGCTGTTGATGGTAGGGTGGCTGGAGATCACCAGACCACCATAGGTGGAAACAGACCAGCTTGTGTGGTAAAACCGGCTGTGGTGAGAAAATTCAAAAGGCTCCCAACAATGTGGCTAGAGAGGTAGTTCAGGTTGCCTCCGCCTGACTGACCTTATGAGTCTTTAGAGATGGGATCAACACATAGGGCTGTGTCACAGCTCTGGAAAGCACTTTGTGGCTACCTAACACAATATACAAAGATCTGGAAAGAGCCATGATGTGGAATCCAGTGCCCAGAGGTCACATTCCAGGCTAGTATCGCAAATCCAGTCCAACAAGGTCAGGGTACGGTCTCCAAAGGCAAGCTGAGGTAAGACCAATCCAAGCAGCCATGTAGTATAGAATCTTGCTTGAAGTTGATGGAGGAGGAATCTACAAAATGTAAAAAAAATAGAAGGCCAGCACAAAAATTTGTCAGACTTTTCCCAGCAGGCCTGAAGAAAAAATAAAGTCTATCTTTCCAGGACACTAGGAAAAACTGAGGCATGCTGGGTGAAGGAGAGCGTTATCCTGGTGGGTTGACTACAATTGTGTCCAATCCCCTCCTGTGTTGGAATTACTGTGTCCACAACACGCACCAGACCCCTTATACATCCAATATGGCAGCTGCAGCCCGTTCACAGGCCCCCCGCCCATTCACTGTACTGACTCACAGGTCCCGCCCATTCACCCTTCTGACTCACAGTCCATTCATAGACCCCTCCCATCTCACAGCCTGTTCTCAGGCCCCGCCCATTCTAGCATTGCCCCACTCTGACTTACCTCTCTCAAACATTTGTAGCCACTGAATCCAGCAGTACAGACGCACTGCGTGTACCCCGGACCATCTGGAGCGCACGCAGAGTTCTCTGGACACAGCACCGCTGCGAGGAGACAAGTGACTGGTCACATATATGCTGTTGGAAACATGAGACCAGCCCCCCCCTCTGTCATACATATGTATAAATACATAGTCACAATGTGGGTTCAGCTCCACCCCCTCCCTTCATGTGTGTCTAAAATATACTGGCCCCGCCCCACTCCTGTTATGTCTATAAGACCAGCCCCACCCCCTCCTGTTATATATGTTTGTAATAGGAGACCAGCCCCACCCTGCCCCCTCCTGTTATATATGTCTATTATTATAAAAGAGCAGCCCCGCCCCCTCCTGTTATATATGTCTATTATATAAGATCAGCCCCGCCCCCCTCCTTTTATATATGTCTATTATATAAGACCAGCCCCCGCCCCCTCCTATTATATATGTCTATAAGACCAGCCCCACCCCCTCCTGTTATATATGTTTGTAATAAAAGAATAGCCCCACCCCCCCCCCTCCTGTTATATATGTCTATTATAGAAGACCAGCCCCACCCCCTCCTGTTATATATGTCTATTATATAAGACCAGCCCCCCCCCCCCCCTCCTGTTATATATGTCTATTATATAAGACCAGCCCCCCCCCCCTCCTGTTATATATGTCTATTATACAAGACCAGCCCCACCCCCTTCTGTTATATATGTCTATTATATAAGACCAGCCCTGCCCCCTCCTGTTATATATGTGTATTATATAAGACCAGCCCCCCCCCCCCGCCTGTTATATATGTCTATAAGACCACCCCCACCCCACCTCCTCCTGTTATATATGTCCATTATATAAGACCAGCCCCACCCCCTCCTGTTATATATGTGTATTATATAAGACCAGTCCCCCCCCCCCTGTTATCCTGTTATATATGTTTGTAATAGGAGACTAGCCCGCCTCCTCCTGTTACATATGTCTATTATATAGACCAGCTCCCACCCCCTCCTGCTGTGTTTGTAATAGACCAGCCCCACCTCCTCCTGTTATATATGTCTATTATACAAGACCAGCCCCAGCCCCTCTTGCTATGTTTGTAATAGAAGACCAGCTCTGCCTCCTCCTGTTATGTCTATTATATAAGACCAGCCCCACCCCTCCTGTTATATATGTCTATTATATAGACCAGCCCCCCGCCTCCTCCTGTTATATATGTCTATTATACAAGACCAGCCCCACCCCCTCCTGTTATATATGTCTATTATATAAGACCAGCCCCACCCCCTCCTGTTATATATGTCTATTATACAAGACCAGCCCCACCCCTTCTTGCTATATGTTTGTAATAGGAGGCCAGCTCCGCCTCCTCCTGTTATATATGTCTATTATATTAAACCAGCCCCACTCCCTCCTGTTATATATGTATATATTATAAGACCAGCCCCGCCCCCTCCTGTTATATATGTTTGTAATATGACACCAACCCCGCCCCTTCTGTTAGAAATGTTTGTAATAAGAGATCAGCCCCGTGCTGGGACTCACCCATGTCTCCAGTGACATTACAGGCACTCTGCTGATCCTGGCAGATCCGGGCATCCAATTGGGTTTTCACACTACCCCAGGCCTCATTACCCCCCGGGGCAACTGATGTTCACTGGAAGAGCTCTGGTGGGGAGAAAACACTTCACTACATGGCACTCCAAATAAAGAGCTGAGCTACAAACACAGCGCCAGAGGATAGAGGGAGCCGAGCTACAAAACACAGCACAGAGGAGGGAGGGAGCCAAGCTACAAACACAGCGCAGAGGAGGGAGGGAGCCGAGCTACAAACACAGCACAGAGGAGGGAGGGAGCCAAGCTACAAACACAGCGCAGAGGAGGGAGGGAGCCGAGCTACAAACACAGCACAGAGGAGGGAGGGAGCCGAGCTACAAACACAGCACAGAGGAGGGAGGGAGCCGAGCTACAAACACAGCACAGAGGAGGGAGGGAGCTACACAGCACCAGAGGAGGGAGGGAGCCGAGCTACAAACACAGCACAGAGGAGGGAGGGAGCCGAGCTACAAACACAGCACAGAGGAGGGAGGGAGCCGAGCTACAAACACAGCACAGAGGAGGGAGGGAGCCCAGCTACAAACACACCACAGAGGAGGGAGGGAGCCGAGCTACAAACACAGCACAGAGGAGGGAGGGAGCCGAGCTACAAACACAGCACAGAGGAGGGAGGGAGCCGAGCTACAAACACAGCACAGAGGAGGGAGGGAGCCGAGCTACAAACACAGCACAGAGGAGGGAGGGAGCCCAGCTACAAACACACCACAGAGGAGGGAGGGAGCCGAGCTACAAACACAGCACAGAGGAGGGAGGGAGCCAAACTACAAACACACCACAGAGGAGGGAGGGAGCCGAGCTACAGACACAGCACAGAGGAGGGAGGGAGCCGAGCCACACAGCACAGAGGAGGCAGGGAGCCGAGCTACAAACACAGCGCAGAGGAGGGAGGGAGCTACACAGCCCAGAGGAGGGAGGGAGCCGAGCTACAAACACAGCACAGAGGAGGGAGGGAGCCGAGCCCCACAGCACAGAGGAGGGAGTTTTATTTTTGAATTATCTTTATCAATATCATTATTGGCATTTATATTTAATATTTATTAAAAATGTATTCATTTTTATTTTTATATTTATATTTTTATCCATTATTATTTATCATTTTTTATTTTATTTTTATTTTATTTTTATTATTATTATTATTATTTTTTTATTCACATTTATTTTTATATTTATTTCTCATTATCTTTTATTCATTTATTTAGATTTATTATTATTTTAATTTTATATTTATTTTTACATTTATCTTTATTTATAAAAATACTTACACATAATTATTTATATTATTTTAATTTCTCTCCTTGTAATAAATAAAATAAGTTTTTTCTTGTATTAATATTATCTTATATAATTTTTAAAAAAAGTTTTTTTATATTTCTAATGGTGGCACTACAAGTACCACAACTATTAATATGTCGAAGTAAAGGTTTGTGTTTATAATTGTTGTATTTGATGGTGCCCAGCCCGATCACAGTACTAGTGACATTAAGTCAGAGTAAAAGGTTGTTAACTAATCTTGCCAATATAACATAAGCAATGTGTTCCATGTATGCACACAACGCATGAATATAAGTAATTATTTGGCCCCATAGAAATGGCCGCCTCCGTGCGGACTTCGAGAAAAATGGCGCTGGAATGGCCTATATAAGGGCAGAAGCGTCATGGCGTCTTATGACATCCCCCTGAGGAAGCCACGTGACCCTGTGGCGTAACGCGTAGGGGAGGGGCTCTGACGTCACGACGCCACTATCAGCGGAACGGCGAGTACTGTCTTTGTGCGAGGGCACACATTTTAAAAAAAACGCTCTGTATTGCTCTGTGGAAATGTGAGTTTGCATTTGTCTGGAGGTGAATTAAAATCTTTTTATAAAGGATATAAGCACTATGTGGGAACTTTTCTTTTACATGGCCTAAATCGGAGGAGTAAAGGGGAGGAAGAGGAGATAGGAGATAGACCCCAAACAACAGGAGGGGAGATATCTATATCCATCCAGCCCTCATAACTCAGAATGAACTAGGAGGCCATCTAGTGGAAGGAAAGCAACACCACAGTCTACCTCAACAGCAATAGACTTTCTATATATCTGCACAGATTGGGACGTTTTCCATCTAAGCTAAGGATTAGCAGTATGCAGTTCTAATCACCACTTTAGGTTGCACAAGTGGAGTGATTATAATATATTAATTGTACAGTTTTATTATTATTTATTTTTCCATATCTAATTGGTCATTGCACTTTATCACATATATATTTTTATATTATTGTTTTGGGCAATATTTGCATTTTTGCACATATACATTATCATGCAAGGAGGTTTTTCTTTGCTCATTTGATTTGTGGCATATCATATTATATTTTTTCACATTATCAAATACATAACTTTTAGATATTTATAATTAAGTTAACTGGGAGTGTGTTAATTTCATTTATATTTATCACTATGAGATAATATTCACTCATTTATTTAGATTTATTTATTTAATTTATCTTACACATAAGTATATATCATACATCACTAAACACCCCTTTTCAGGAGCGCGACACATTCAATATTTTATTTGTTTATTTTCACACAGCATTGTGAGTACAGTTGCAAGAAAAAGTATGTGAACCCCTTGGGATTACGTGGAGTTTTGCATGAATTGGGCATAAAATGTGCTCTGAACGTCATCTAAGTCACAACAATAGAAGAACACAGTCTGCTGAACATAATACTACACAAACAACATAGATGTTGCCATGGTTTAATTGCACATAACATGTAAACATTCACAGTGCAGGGAGGAAAAAGTATGTGAACCTTTGGACTTAATAACTGGTTGACCCTCCTTTGGCAGCAATAACCTCAACCAAACCTTTCCTGTAGTTGCAGATCAGACCTGCACAACGATCTGGAGTAATTTTGGACCGCTCCTCTTCACAAAACTGTTTCAGTGTAGCAATATTCTTGGGATGTCTGGTGTGAATCGCTCTCTTAAGGTCATGCCACAGCTTTTTAATCGGGTTGAGGTCAGGACTCTGACTGGGCCACTCCAGAAGGTGTATTAAGTGCTGTTGCAGCCATTGTTTTGTTGAATTACTTGTATGCTTTGGGTCATTGTCCTGTTGCATCACCCATCCTCTGCGGAGCTTCAGTTCGTGGACAGATGGTCGTACGTTTTCCTGCAAAATGTCTTGATAAACTCTGGAATTCATTTTCCCATCAATGACAAACAATCCGTCCAGGCCCTGAGGCAGCAAAGCAGCCCCAAACCATGATGCTCCCTCCGCCATGTTTTACAATGGGGATGAGGTTTTGATGTTGGTGTGCTGTGCCTTTTTTTCTCCACACATTTTTAGTGTTGTGTGTTTTTCCCAAACAACTCAATCTTGGTTTCATCTGTCCACAGTATATTTTGCCAGTAGTGCTGTGGAATATCCAGGTGCTCTTTTGCAAACTCAAACGTCCTGCAATATTCTTTTGGACAGCAATGGCTTCCTCCGTGGTGTCCTCCCATGTACTCCATTCTTGTTTAATGTTTTCCTTATTGTAGATGTGTCAACAAAAATGTTAGCATGTGCCAGAGATTTCTGTAGGTCTTTAGCTGGCACTCTGGGATTCTTCTTTACCTCATGCAGCATTCTGCGCTGTGCTCTTGCAGTCATTTTTACAGGACGACCACGCCTAGGGAGAGTAGCAACAGTGCTAAACGTTCTCCATTTGTAGACAGTCTGTCTTACCGTGGACACATGAACATCAAGGCTTTTGGAGATACTTTTGTAACCCTTTCCAGCTTCATGCAAGTCAACAATTCTTGATCGTAGTCTTTTGAGAGCTCTTTACTGCAAGGCATGGTTCACATCAGACAGTGCTTCTTGAAACCAGTAAACCCAAAACAGGGTGTGTGTTTTTTAAGGCAGGACAGCTGTCAGCAACACATCCAATATCATCACACTGATTGGAGTCAAGGTTGGCTCACTCCTGGCTCCAATTAGCTCTGGGAGAAGTCATTAAGCATAGGGCCTCACATACTTTTTCCTCCCTGAACTGTGAATGTTTAGCATGTTATGTGCAATTAAACCATGGCATCATCTAATGTTTGTGTAGTATTATGTTCAGCAGACTGTGTTCTTCTATTGTTGTGACTTAGATGACGTTCAGAGCACATTTTATGCCCAATTCATGCAAAACTCCATGTAATCCCAAGGGGTTCACATACTTTTTCTTGCAACTGTATGTGTTTCATGTGTTGACGCACCGTCACATTTAAAGGAGTTAATTTATTATAAGAACCTTGTGCCACCCATAGTAGCTCACAAGTATACACTCTTATAACAGAGGAGGGAGGGAGCCGAGGCTACAAACACAGCACAGGGGAGGGAGGGAGCCGAGGCTACAAACACAGCACAGGGGAGGGAGGGAGCCGAGCTACAAACACACAGCAGAGGATAGAGGGAGCCGAGCTACACAGCCCAGAGGAGGGAGGGAGCCGAGAGCTACAAACACAGCGCAGAGGAGGGAGGGAGCCGAGCTACAAACACACCGCAGAGGAGGAGGGAGGGAGCCGAGCTACAAAAACACACAGCAGGGAGGGAGGGAGGGAGCGAGCCACACAGCACAGAGGAGGCAGGGAGAGCCACAGCTACAAACACAGCAGCAGAGGGGAGGGAGCCGACACACAGCCCAGAGGAGGGAGGGAGCCGAGCTACACAGCACAGAGGAGGGAGGGAGCCGAGCTACACAGCACAGGGGAGGGAGGGAGCCGAGCTACACAGCACAGGGGAGGGAGGGAGCCGAGCTACACAGCACAGGGGAGGGAGGGAGCCGAGCTACACAGCACAGGGGAGGGAGGGAGCCGAGCTACACAGCACAGGGGAGGGAGGGAGCCGAGCTACACAGCACAGGGGAGGGAGGGAGCCGAGCGACACAGCACAGGGGAGGGAGGGAGCCGAGCGACACAGCACAGGGGAGGGAGGGAGCGAGCGACACAGCACAGGGGAGGGAGGGAGCCGAGCGACACAGCACAGGGGAGGGAGGGAGCCGAGCGACACAGCACAGGGGAGGGAGGGAGCCGAGCGACACAGCACAGGGGAGGGAGGGAGCCGAGCGACACAGCACAGGGGAGGGAGGGAGCCGAGCGACACAGCACAGGGGAGGGAGGGAGCCGAGCGACACAGCACAGGGGAGGGAGGGAGCCGAGCGACACAGCACAGGGGAGGGAGGGAGCCGAGCGACACAGCACAGGGGAGGGAGGGAGCCGAGCGACACAGCACAGGGGGAGGGAGGGAGCCGAGCTACACAGCACAGGGGAGGGAGGGAGCCGAGCTACACAGCACAGGGGAGGGAGGGAGCCGAGCTACACAGCACAGGGGAGGGAGGGAGCCGAGCTACACAGCACAGGGGAGGGGAGGGAGCCGAGCCGACACAGCACAGGGGAGGGAGGAGCCGAGCTACACAGCACAGGGGAGGGAGGGAGCCGAACTACACAGCACAGGGGAGGGGGAGCCGAGCTACACAGCACAGGGGAGGGAGGGAGCCGAGCTACACAGCACAGGGGAGGGAGGGAGCCGAGCTACACAGCACAGGGGAGGGAGGGAGCCGAGCTACACAGCACAGGGGAGGGAGGGGAGCCCGAGCTACACAGCACAGGGGAGGGAGGGAGCCGAGCTACACAGCACAGGGGAGGGAGGGAGCCGAGCTACACAGCACAGGGGAGGGAGGGAGCCGAGCTACACAGCACAGGGGAGGGAGGGAGCCGAGCTACACAGCACAGGGGAGGGAGGGAGCCGAGCTACACAGCACAGGGGAGGGAGGGAGCCGAGCTACACAGCACAGGGGAGGGAGGGAGCCGAGCGACACAGCACAGGGGAGGGAGGGAGCCGAGCGAGCGACACAGCACAGGGGAGGGAGGGAGCCGAGCGACACAGCACAGGGGAGGGAGGGAGCCGAGCGACACAGCACAGGGGAGGGAGGGAGCCGAGCTACACAGCACAGGGAGGGAGGGAGCCGAGCGACACAGCAGGGGGAGGGAGCCGAGCGACACAGCACAGCGGAGGGAGGGAGCCGAGCGACACAGCACACAGCGGAGGGAGGGAGCCGAGCGACACAGCACAGCGGAGGGAGGAGCCGAGCGGGGAGGGAGCCCAGAGGCAGGGAAGGAGCCGAGCTACACAGCACAGGGGAGGGAGGGAGCCGAGCTACACAGCACAGAGGAGGGAGCCGAAGCTACACAGCACAGAGGAGGGAGCCGAGCTACACAGCACAGAGGAGGGAGCCGAGCTACACAGCACAGGGGAGGGAGCCGAGCTACACAGCACAGGGGAGGGAGCCGAGCTACAAACACAGCACAGAGCAGAGAGGGAGCTGAGCTACAGACACAGCACAGAGGAGGGAGGGAAATGAGCTACAAACACAGCACAGAGGAGAGAGGGAGCCGAGCTATAAAAATACTGCAGAGGACAGAGCTGAGCTCTATACACAGACACTCACAGGTAGCGAAGGCCTGTCAGTCCCTGGAAGAAGTCCTGAGGCAGCTCCTGCAGAGGATTCTGGGAGAGGTCCCTGTGAAGAGCACACAGTATAAGTAGAGGGTTCACAGAACTCTTTCATCACAATAAAAGCCCCGCCCGCCATGACTCACATGACAGCGATGGCGGCAGTAAGGTGGAGCCCGGGATCCAGGTTGGAGATGGAGCAGTTCCAGAGATCCAGCCTGCAGGAAGAAGAGAAGATGGTGGGTTACATCCTGCACTGTTATACTCACTGTAACTGATCCCCCCCCCCCCCCCCCCCCCATAGGGTGCATACCCAATGATATCGCCCCCTGGAGGCTTCACGCAGCAGCGGCCCACAACTTCTGCCTCCGATGTCTGTGTGCACAGGCGGGCAACTTCTGAACCGTTCCGTAGGTTCCCCGGACACTGCCTGCAGATCTGGGGAGAAAGAGAGGAGGTCCAGAGGTCAAAATATGGAGGATATACGTCACACCCCTCCCCTGCCAGAGTGAGGAAGCTGAGCTACAAAAACACCACAGAGGGGGGCCAGAAAGAAAGTCAGTGTATGGTGCCTATAAATCACATCCCTCCCCCACCTGAATCAGGGGCTGAACTACAAACACATTATTATCAGGGCTGGTTTGCCTGGGTATGGAAGAGGATGGAGATGGGTGGAGAGGATGGAGAATGGTGATGGGATAAAGATTGGTGGAAAGGATGCAGAAAGGTGGAGGGATGGAAACCAGAGGAAAGGATAGAGATTGGTGGCGGGGAAGGAGAACGGTGGAGGGGACACAGATTGGTGTGGAGAATGGTAAAGGGGGCGGAGAACAAAGGAAGGGATAGAGATTGGTGGCGGGGACAGAGAGCGGTGGAGGGGACAGAGATTGGTGTAGAGAATGGTAATGGGGCATAGAAAGAGATAGAGATTGGTGGAAGGGAAGGAGATCGATGGCGGGTCAGAGAATAGTGGAAGGGATGGAGATTGGTGTAAAGAATGGAGAACGGTGGAAGGGGCGGAGATTGGTGTAAAGAATGGAGAACGGTGGAAGGGACGGAGATGGGTGGAAGGGACGGAGATGGGTGGAAGGGACGGAGATGGGCGGAAAGGACGGAGATGGGCGGAAGGGACGGAGATGGGCGGAAGGGACGGAGATCGGGTGGAAGGGACGGAGATCGGGTGGAAGGGACGGAGAACAGTGGAAGGGACGGAGAACGGTGGAAGGGACGGAGATCGGGTGGAAGGGACCGAGATGGGTGGAAGGGACCGAGATCGGGTGGAAGGGACCGAGATCGGGTGGAAGGAACCGAGATCGGGTGGAAGGGACCGAGATCGGGTGGAAGGGACCGAGATCGGGTGGAAGGGACGGAGAACGGTGGAAGGGACGGAGAACGGTGGAAGGGACGGTGAATGGTGGAAGGGATGGAGAGAACGGTGGAAGGGACGGAGAGATCGGTGGGACGGAGATGGAGAAGGGACGGAGATGGGTGGGAGGAGATCGGTGGGACGGAGATCGGTGGAAGGAAGGGAAATTGGTGGGACGGAGATGGGTGGGAAGGAGATCGGTGGAAAGGACGGAGATCGGTGGAAGGGACGGAGAAATTGGTGGGGACGGAGATGGGTGGGAAGGAGATCGGGTGGAAAGGACGGAGATCGGTGGAAGGGACGGAGAAATTGACGGAGATGGGTGGAAGGGACGGAGATGGGTGGAAGGGACGGAGATGGGTGGAAGGGGACAGAGAATGATGGAGGGAATGGAGAACACTGGAGGTGTTGGGTAATATTTCTGGATTGAGGAATCCACTGTACTCTGGGCTGTGATGAGGTTGGAGAGTTTGATGGGGGTGGGTTGGAGGGGGATAGTGTTTAGGAATCTGGTTTATCTACTAAAGGTGGAGTCCTGCATATATTACAGGCAAAGTTAATATCAGAGCTCCTCCCCCAGGTGTGTAATGGGAGGAGTCAGTGTCAGGGCCCACCCCTGTGTGGATATGGGATGACGATTTGCTCTGTGTACATTCTTCATCCTCATGGTAAAGTCATCCATCATTATTCCTGGCGCGGGGGGAGGGGTTGTACGATATGAACACTCCGCCCTCAGTGTGATGTTCAGGATGTATATAATACCAACAGTGAGCATAGCGTTGTACAATGTGAAGACTGTGCAGGCAACATGGGGGTGGGGAGGAGGCTGTGATCCTGGGAGCTGACACTCTAATAGAGATGAGGTGGGGGGTTGCTGACAGATGTGTACATGGTGTACTATGTGCTCCCCTCCCCCCTCTGTATATATATATATGTGATCTGTTTTCCTCCTCTGTGTGATATATGAGGGAGATCACTTTCCATCCCATAATAATATTGGTGCTGGTCTACAGGGGCTCGAGGTACACATCAGTCAGCTCTATTGGGGGGAGGAGTCATTGAAAGATGTAGCTTCCCCTCCCCCAACCCGGTGTGGAAGGGTGATCTCCCCGGACCGGAAGTGTGGCTCCTATGTACAGAGAGTGAGGAGCCCCTCCACACACACAAAGATGGCCGACTGACCTCCACCTCCTCCTGAGCCCGGACCACCAGAACACAGCTCATCGCCAACACCGCGCACAGCGCAGCCATCGTCATCGTCACCGCTGGTCATGTGATCCCAGGAGGTCAGCTGACCGGAAAAATAAAAAAAAAAAAACATGGCCGCCATCTTCCCGGAGACCAATCTGGAGATATCCCCTCCCCCCAGGGAAATATTCACACTGCAATTCCAAGGGATAGAGAAATTCTCCATCCCTGTCAGGAGGAGGACTTCCTGTCGTGGTGATAACAGAGGAAGAGGAAGCGATCTGTGAGCCATGTGGTGTCACCACAACAGGAAGTGAGATGAGAGTGACACCAGAGTTTTCTGGTACCAATGACGAGGTACTATTCCTCCCACTGATTACCAATGATGGGGCACTATTCCTCCCACTGATACCAATGATGGGGCACTATTCCTCCCTCTGATACCAATGATGGGGCACTATTCCTCCCACTGATACCAATGATGGGACACTTCCTCCTACTAATATCAATGATGGGACACTATTCCTCCCATCGGAGCACCTTCAATGATGAGGCCATTCCTCCCTACTGATACCATGATGGCACTATTCCTCCCCACTGATACCATATGATGGGGGCACTGATACCAATGATGGGGCACTATTCCCTCCCACTGATACCAATGATGGGGCACTATTCCTCCCACATGATGGGACACTTCCAATGATCAATGGGGACACTATTCTCCCATCTGATTCCCTCCCACTGTTGGGGCACTACCTCCAATGATACCATGGGGCACTATTCCTCCCACTGATACCACACTTTTCCTCCCACCTGATACCAATGATGGGGCACTTATTCCTCCCACTGATACCAATGAATGGGACACCTATTTCCTCCCACTGATACCAATGATGGGACACTATTTCCTCCCACTGATACCAATGACGGGGCACTATTCCTCCACCTGATACTGATATTCCTCCAGCTGAACACCAATGATGGGGCACATATTCCTCCCGCTGATACCAATGACTGGACTATTCATCCCACACAATGAGGGGGAACTATTCCTCCCCACTGATGATGGGGCACTATTCCTCCCACTGATACCAATGATGGGGGGCACTATTCTCCCTCCCACTGGGGCACTATTCCTCCACACCAATGATGGGGCACTATTCCTCCCATGACACAATTGGAATGGCACTATTCCTCCACTGACACCAAATGATGGGACACCAATGATGGGGCACTATTCTCCACTGACACTGATGAATGGGCACTTTCCCTCCACACCAGCTGATCACAATGATGGGGCAACTATTCCTCCACTCCCACAATGATGGGGCACTATTCCTCCCCACTGACACATGATGGGACACTATTCCTCCCTCTGACAGCAATGATGGGGCACTATTCCTCCCACTGATACCAATGATGGGACACTATTCCTCCCGGACTGACAGCAAATGATGGGGCACTATTCCTCCATGACACCATGGGGCACTATTCCTCCCACTGACCCCACTATTCCTCCCACTGACACCAATGATGGGCACTATTCCTCCCACTGACTGATGGGACACTATTCCTCCCACTGACACAATGATGGGGCACTATTCCTCCCACTGATGATCCTATTCCCCACTGATACCAATGATGGGGCACTATTCCTCCCACTGATACAATGATGGGGCACTATTCCTCCCACTGATAACCAATGGGGCACTATTCCTTCCACTGATACCAATGATGGGACACTATTCCTCCACTGCCACACCATGTGGGGCACTATTCCCCAACTGAATAACGATTGATAGGGCACCACTATTCTCCACCTCTGACACGCAATGATGGGGCACTATTCCTACCACTGATTCCAATGATGGGGCACTATTCTTCAATGACACCAATGATGGGAGCACTATTCCTCCCACTGACACCAATGATGGGGCACTATTCCCCACTATGATACCGAATGAAGTGGGGCACATTCCTCCCACTGACACCGAATGATGGCGCACTATTTCCTTACCAATGATGGGGCACTATTCATCCCACTGACACCACTGATGAAACCGGGCAACTATATCCTACCACTGGCATTCCTACCATTACCAATGATGGGCCTATTCCTCCCCACTGATACATCCAATGATGGAAGCACTATGTCCGTCTTCAACACCGAGAATTACCAATGATGGAGCTTTTCTGTAACGATACCAATGTTGGGGCTATTCCTCACCGACTGATGCCCAATGATCGGACACTAATCTCTTAAGACACTGACACCAATGATGGGGCACTATTCCTCCCACGGACACCAATGATGGGGCGCTATTCCTCCTACCTGATACCTATTCCTACCACTGACACCAAATGATGGGACACTATTCCTCCACTGATACAATGACAGGGGCACATATTCCTCCCACTGATACCAATGATGGGGCACTATTCCTCCCTGATACCAATGATGGGGCACTATTCCCCACTGACTCCAATGATGGAGCACTATTCCTCTCTACCCGATACGCAATGATGGGGCACTAAATTCCTCCACTGCCTATTGATGGGACACTATTCCACTGACACCAATGATGGGGCACTATTCCTCCCACTGACTCCAATGATGGCAGCACTATTCCTCCACTGATTACCAATGATGGGGCAACTATTCCTTCCACTAATACCAAAGATGGGGCATCTAAATCCCCCCACTGATAGCAATGATGGGGCACTATTCCTCCCATTGGATACCAATGGATGGGGCACCTATTCCTCCCCACTGATATCAATGATGGGGCACTATTCCTCCACTGATATCAATGATGGGGCACTATTCCTCCACTGACACCAATGATGGGGCACTATTCCTCCACTGACTCCAATGATGGGCACCTATTCCCTCCCACTGATACCAATGATGGAGCACTATTCCTCCCACTGACACAATGGATGGGGCACTTATTCCTCCCAGGACACCAATGATGGGACACTATTCCTCCCACTGACACCAATGAGTGGGGCCACTATTCCTGCCACTTTGATACCATTATCCACCCACTTAATACCAATGATGGGGCACTATTCCTTCCACTGATCCCAATCCCAATGTTGGGGGCTGATACCAATGATGGGGCACTATTCCCCTCTCACTGAATACCAAATGATACACAATTCTGCTCCCACTGATGGGGCACTATTATCCTCCCACTATGATGGGGCACTATTCCTCCCACTGACAGCAATGATGGGGCACTATTCCTACCCTGATACTCCATATGATTGGGGCACTATTCCTTCCACTGATACCGAATGATGGGACACTATTTCCTCCCAACTGACACCGATGATGGGGCACTATTCCCCACTATTCCTGACTGACCGATGATGGGGCACTATTTTCCTCCCACTGATACGACAAATGATGGGGCACTATTCCTACCACTGAAATCAAGATGATGGGACACTATTCTTCCACTGATACCAATGATGGGCACTATTCCTCCCTCTGATACCGATTGATATGGGGCACTATTCCTTCCCACTGACTCCAATGATGGAGCACTATTCCTCTCACCGATACCAATGATGGGGCACTATTCCTGCCACTGATGCCAATGATGGGACACTATTCCACTAGACACCAATGATGGGCACTATTCCTCTCCCCGGACACAACCCCCCCCCCCCATAATGGGGCGCTTATTCCTCCTACCCTGATACAATGATGGGGCACGTATTCCTACCACTGACACCAATGATGGGACAATATTCCTCCCACTGATACCAATGACGGAGGCACTATTCCTCCCACTGATACCAATGATGGGGCACTATTCCTCCCACTGATACCAATGATGGGGCACTATTCCCTCCCACTGACTCCAATGATGGGGCACTATTCCTCTCACTGATACCAATGATGGGGCACTATTCCTCCACTGATGCCAATGATGGGGACACTATTCCACTGACACCAATTGATGGGGCACTATTCCTCCCACGGATACTGACTCCAATGATGGAGCACTATTCCTCCACTTGATACCAATGATGGGGCACTATTCCTCCCACTGAATTACCAATGATGGGGCACTATTCCTCCTACTGATACCAATGATGGGGCACTATTCCCCCCCACTGATTCGCAATGATGGGGCACTATTCCTCCCATTGATACCAATGATGGGGCACTATTCCTCCCACTGATATCAATGATGGGGCACTATTCCTCCCACTGATATCAATGATGGGGCACTATTCCTCCACTGAAAATTTCACCAATGATGGGGCGCTATTCCTCCCACTGATACCAATGATTCGGGGCACTATTCCTTCCACTGATTACCAATGATGGGGGCACTATTCCTCCCACTGATACCAATGATGGGACACTATTCCTCCCACTGATATCAATGATGGGGCACTATTCCTCCACTGACACCAATGATGGGGCGCTATTCCTCCCACTGATACCAATGATGGGGCACTATTCCTTCCACTGATACCAATGATGGGGCACTATTCCTCCCACTGATACCAATGATGGGACACTATTCCTCCCACTGATACCAATGATGGGACACTATTCCCTCCACTGGATACCAATGATGGGACACTATTCCTCCTACTGATACCAATGATGGGGCATTTTTTACTCCCACTGGCCACAGTCCAGCCCCCCTAATGTCTTAAGCACAGTAAACTGGCCCTTTGTTTTGAAAGTTTGGATGTCCCTGCTCTATAGTGTGTACTTATCTCAGTTCAGAGCACCGAGTGTCATTTCTGTGTGCTGCCTCCTTCCTCTTCTATCAGCATGAGTCACTTCTGACACGTTTTTCCTGACACCAAGAGAAGAATGGTGACAGTGGAGGGATCTCCAGCAGATTGACAGCCTCAGCTCTGTTCCTATGTTGAAGGGGGAGTGTCCCTGCCCTCCAATCAGCTCTCAGAGCTCTCCTCACTGAGCTCTGCAGTGTGTCATTTCAGCTCTCCGCCCTCTCTTTTCTGATCTCTCAGACAAGCTTTATAAATTCAGCACTGTGAATGGATGTAGGGTACAGACGGCTGCAGATAAAACA